TCATTGTTCTATGCTGCCTCCTTCTACACTCCCTACTCTTTCTCCTACTCCCTACTCCTTCTACACCACCTCCTTCTACACCTCCTCCTACACCACCTCCTTCTACACCTCCTCCTAAACCACTTCCATCTACACCTCCTCTTTCTACACCACTCCTTCTACACCTCCTCCTAAACCACTTCCATCTACACCTCCTCCTTCTACACCTCCTCCTTCTACACCTCCTCCTACACCACCTCCTTCTACACCTCCTCCTAAACCACTTCCATCTACACCTCCTCTTTCTACACCACTCCTTCTACACAACTCCTTCTACACAACTCCTTCTACACCACCTCCTTCTACACCTCCTCCTTCTACACCTCCTCCTACACCACCTCCTTCTACACCTCCTCCTAAACCACTTCCATCTACACCTCCTCTTTCTACACCACTCCTTCTACACAACTCCTTCTACACCACTCCTTCTACACCACCTCCTTCTACACCTCCTCCTACACCACCTCCTTCTACACCTCCTCCTAAACCACTTCCATCTACACCTCCTCTTTCTACACCACTCCTTCTACACACCTCCTCCTACACCACCTCCTTCTACACCTCCTCCTAAACCACTTCCATCTACACCTCCTCTTTCTACACCACTCCTTCTACACAACTCTTTCTACACCACTCCTTCTACGCCACTCCTTCTACACCACTCCTTCTACACCTCCTCCTTCTATGCCACTTCCTCCTACACCTCCTTCTTCTATGCTGCCTCCTTCTACATCTCGTTCTATGCTGCCTCCTTCTACACCTCCTCTTATACACCTTCTCCTCCTATACTCCCCATTCTTTTTTACACCTCCTCCTGTGCCTCCTCCTTCTACACTCCCTACTTCTAAACCTCCTTCTATATCCCCTCATTTTACACTTCCTTCTACACCTCATTCTATATCCCAACCTACGTTCCTCCTCCTCCTCCTTCTACACTCCCTACTTCTAAACCTGCTTCTATATCCCTTCATTTTACACTTCTACACCTCCTTCTATACCTCCTCTACGTTACTCCTCCTTCTACACCTCTTACATCTACACCCTTCTTCCACATCCCCTCCCGCACCTCCTCCTTCTACACTCCCTTCTTCTATGCTGCCTCCTTCTACACCCTCTTCTACACCTTCTTCTACACTCCCCCTTCTTTCTTCACCTCCTTCTACACCTCATTTTATACCTCCTCCTACGTTCCTCCTTCTTCTACATTCCTCCTCCTTCTACACCTCTTCCTTGTACACATTTCTTCCACATCGACCTTTTGCACCGCCTCCTACTACGTTCCTCCTCCTTCTCCTGCACCTCTTCCTTGTACACCCTTCTTCCACATCCCCTCCTCCTTCTACACCTCCGTCTACACCGTCTTCTACAACTCCTCCGTCTATACCCCCTCCTTCCACTACCTGTTTTTTTAAACCTCCTTCTACATCCCCCCTTCTATACATCCTCCGTTTACACTTCCTCCTTACACAACCCCTCCTCCTACGCCTCCTCCTCCTCTGGGTCGACTTCAAGTCCCCAAATATCTATCATCTTATCCTCTGCGTCCTGTTGAAGCTGATAAGGTGTCTCTAGCATCAAATCCACGACCGGACTAATGTCAGACCACAGCGCACCTGCTGGTAAGTTGAAGTCTTCCTGCCAGCTGAGGCTGTTGCCCTCAGTATTGTCTCCCCTCTCACGTCCCTCCATCCAGGGATAGACACGATCACTAGTCCGTTAGTCCAAGACAAGTGAAAATCTAGATGGACTAGTTGTTTCATCCAAAAGTCATGTTATTATACATAACCCCTAGCCCGAGAGATACCACTCGGATCCTGCCAGGCGGAATAGGTAACTTGGGTGACTTACTGGAGCTTCTTGGTGTCCTCCTGGGCGTCCTCCTGGTTGTTGTCCTGGGTGTCCTCCTGTGTGTTCTCCTGTTCTCAGTGTCCTCCTGTTCATACATTAATACTGTTCAGGCAATTACTCTGGAGAGAGGGGCGGTCGGGTAGCCTAGTGGCTAAAGCGTTCGCTCGTCACGCCGAAGACCCGGGTTCGATTCACGACATGGGTACAATGTGTGAAGCCCATTGCTGGTGTCCCCCGTCGTGATATTGCTGGAATATTGCTAAAAGCGGCGTAAAAGCATACTCACTCACTCACGCCTCCAAACCTCCAAACCAAGGCCATAGGTAGTACGTATTGCCAACAAGACCTGAAACGGGAAAGGACAGGAAGGAGGGGGCAATATATTACTCTTAGTTCATACTCCAGTCGGGCTGGGAGTTGTTTCCCTTTGTATAAATGCCCACAAGGTCCTACCCAGCGCGTGACAGATTTCTTTGCAGATCCTGGTAAGTAACACATGTTACATGTGCCTCGAAAATGAACGGATCCAACTGTTCATATGAAGTTGTGGCATCTTGTATGTGTTTGAGGGACAACGGACGTCCGGTATATGGATATTGGTTTTATCCAATACATATGTATCTTTTCAAGCATGTTATACAAATAAGAAATTAACCACACTTAAAACAAACGTAGTTTGTGTTGATATTGTCGATCACATCAACCTGAAGACTTTAAACATTAAGTAGTCCTGAAATACCGTTAGAATTAAAAAGAAGTCCAGATTTCATATTTCCTTCATGTATAAAGATGGACTTTTTGAAACAATAGAACTTAGGAATTTCCTCTATATATCTGATCTTTATGAATAGAAACAGGCATCCTTAGGACAAGCATAGTCGCCGCTTACGGAATGGATGGTTCGCTATATAACCCGGATATTCACGGGTATTGAATATACTAGATGTGAAGGTGGTAGGAACAGTTACTTTGAATCTGAGGGGTATTATATACAAATGATATAATTCTGTTCATGTAAGTACAGGTATAACGCAATAACATATTGTCAATATATACACACACGTTAGGGTGACATCAATAATATATTCATTTCCATGTTAAACGAGGGAAACAAAGACATTTAATTCATTTGTTGTTTTTAATAGACATGTTATTGATTTGTTGTTTTAATACTCTGGACCCGTGAAGATCCGGGTAGAGAATAGGTCTTCAGCAACCCATGCTTGTTGTAGATCGATGCTGTTGAGCTCAATCACTGGATTTTCTGTCACTCAGAGTAATACTGAACTGTAGGCGCTTTGTGGTTTAAGATAGAAACTTTAATTTTGAGAATAAAGTGATACAATGATAATGAAGACAAAGTACACGTAAACTGTAGCATGTCACATTTCTACCTCAAGAAAGAGAAGTCAGGTTATGCAGAACCTAGGGAAGCGATACAAGATGAAATATTTTCAAGCATGATTGTACTTACAGTGACGAAACCAGGTGTGTGACCATGCTTAGTCTGCTTCAAGTGACGATAGGACTATTAATAAGCAAGGAAAATAGTTCTATGGATATGCAACTTCTTTATTAATAGTAATACGACTTTAACAAAGTTATTTTTATAGTTTGCATTCACCGGTGTGCAGGGAAGAAAAGGTTATGTAGGTGTGGTTTGGAAACGGCAATTCATTTAACAAAAACAAACTACATTTGTCAGAATGTACAACAGTCCCAATAGAAATTCAAATTTATTTTCATCTAATGCATTGACACCAGATCAAGGAAGCATGGAACGGCTCCTTCAGTGAATGTCTCTAGGATGTTGTATGCTTTGAAAGCACTTTTAGGTACATAACAAAGAGTTATGAAATGTTATGTCGCCCAATACACGCATACACGCCACGCTGATAACAACCCATCCACACCAACACCATCTTCCCGAGGCAAGAGAGTTAACTGACTATAAAAGTCCAGTTTCCACCCTTGCCGAACTAGGCTGGAATTCCTGGGCTGGATCGTAGCGCCGCCAGTGGTTATTACAAGTTATGTCCATTCCTCTCCTATGGACCAATCAGATTCCACCTCTCGTACCACTTGCATTTGTTTCAAACGAAATGGCGGCGCCCAGTCAAGACGATCTGATCGATAATGAAGACCTATATTGTGATAAAATGGGTTTTACATCACGAAGTGCATCAAATCACGCGAACACCTTGATTAAAAACATGAAATGATTTGAAAAATATCTGTTGACAACGAGTTGGCAGTGCACATGTTTTGCAAATCCTGCAATCGACACGACAGTTTGCGAACCGGTTTTCGATTTCGGTGCGCGATTGTGATTGGACTATGCATAGACTCGTTAGTACAGCCAAAATGTAACTTTATTACACAAGCCTAGTTCGGCAAGGTTGGAAACTGGACTTTTATAGTCAGTTAACTCTCTTGCCTCGTGAAGATGCACCAACACTGTCTAGGCTCACAGTGCAGGACATAAGATTTTACAATGGTGAATGAGGTTTTAGTGGTTCGGGGAATTAAGTTTGTTTTAGCTACTTGTTATTTTCTCAATATCTTCTTTATATTAAATGTAGTAAGTATCTGCAGTTGAAATGGATATTTTATTTACACGGGAATATCTTGTTCCAACATGCGATGTGTATGTAATGTTACATGTTACATGACACTGTGGCAACTCACTTCCTTATCGTATCCCATATTCTACGGTCATACAAAGGGAATATTATGATTTGCAGGAAATTGGTAATAATTGTACATGTTGTGCGACCCGAGAAGATCCAGGGTAGATAGTTCTTCAGCATCCAATGCTTGTGGTAAAAGGCGACTAACGGGATCGGGTGGTCAGGCTCGCTGACTTGGTTGATGCATGCCATCGTATCCCAATGGCGTAGATTGATGCTCATGATGTCAATCACTGGATTGTCTGGTCCAGACTCGATTATTAACAGAACGCCGTCACATAGCTGGAATAATGCTGAACGTTAATGTGATAGAGATAATTCATTTCATCACATGATGAACCAGCCCCATTTGCGGCCCGGCTTCTATTGTTGTGGAAAAAGCGTATGACCTGGCGTCAATATTATAGGTCGGTGTGTACTGGAACATGACGTCTAATAGAGGCAATGTGGTATTTTCAATCAGCGTAAATGCTCAATCACCAAGGGCGAATAACTCTAACCTTCGATTATAGCTGTTGATTATGTCCCCCTGAGTGAGACATCAGACCGCTGTACGTGTTGTTCGTCAGACTAACATGCAGGTAAGTAAGAGAATATATACACCGAAACGTCGGCTGTCTTAACACTTCGAAGTAAGCTTCTACAATGTTGCAACCTTGTTTCAGGAACTGGCGCAAGTAGAGGGGAGTCATTGTACATATGTCATAATATGTGTTCTTGTAAAAAATGTATCGAGTGCTTTGAGTTTGAAAATTAAAACATTCTTGAGTCAAGCATAGCCCTCCATAGTCATAATTTTTAAGCTCTTCATGACATGTGGCGATGCTGTTCATCATAATGAAAGAAAAAATCCAAGGTTGTTTCAGTTCTAGTCAGGGTTGATGACACGGCCTTCGTGTAAACAAATGGTTGACAACATACCGTATTTCCTCTATCAAATTTAGGAGACCGGTGTCTTTTGTAGATTATTGCGCGGAATGTCCGCTGGATTGTCTGGGCAGGACTCCATTATATTACAAGCCACCATGATATAGCTGGAATACTATTAACAACAAACAGACCTAGTTCCGACTGAAATGTTAATTTGCTAAGTGTAATCCCACGGACTTGTATAACAAGGGTAAAATAGGTCCGTGGTAATATCAATGATGGCTTCAGATTAGGTCACCAAATAGATGGTTTCTTACTAAGTTGAATCATGGATGATTTCTACATCACACAATTTTTGGACTACAGTATAATTACTGAGATGAATGATAAATAAATGAATAAATAAATGTAATATCATCATTAAAATACAAATAGTTTGAGACTCGTGAAGATCCAGGGTAGAATAGGTCTTCAGCAACCCTTCTTCTGCTGAGTGCGGCGTAAAACAACAAACAAACAAACAAACAACAAATAGTTTGAACAGCAGTTTTGAAGCTATATCAAGATCTGTTCACATTCTGTCAGCATTGATCAGGAACATATGTATACTACACAAAAGAAGTTAAGGAGCAACGGATTCTTTCATATTACATTCCAACTGTTTTAGTTACTTAATCTCTCATGTCATGTCATGACAGATAAACTACAATAATATGAATGGATCGGGTGTTTTTTAACTTCTTGTCAGTAGCATATATTGTTGGCCAGTCTGGAAGTAATGCATGACTCAGCAATGGATGTGCATTGTAGGGTTTACCTGTTGTTTGATTAATGTTGTTAAAAAATAGTCCGAATGTTGAAATAAAATATTCCTCATCCAGAGTCATAGTCTAGTTATTTAAAGACTTGTGTAGCAGCGCTTGGAATCAGATGGCATACTTACCCTGTTGGTGGGGTTAACTTCTTTGGTCATGTGAAAAAGGTCGACCTCGGATGCGAAGGACCTTGTTCCGAAATTCTATCACAGGACATGGAAATGTAATGGCCACAACAGTGGCATTGGTCATGTTTATAAAATTATGCAGCAAATAACATTCAGTGAATGATTGCTGCTCATATTTTGGCTACCCTCTGCAAAGATCCTGGTTACAATTGGTCATCAGCAACCCATGCTTGTTGTAAGAGGTGACTAACAGAATTGGGTGGTCAGACTCGCAGACTTGGTTAATGCATGTCATTGTATCCCATTGGCGAAGATCATGATGTCGGTCACTGGATTGTCTGGCCCAGACTCCCATTATTTTCAGAAGGACGTTCATGTAAATGGAATATTGCTGACTGTGGCGTTAAACAAAAACAAGAAAACACTAGGTGCACATTTTCATGTCAGTGCTTATGTGGATGGTAAGGAAAGGTCACTAAGACAATATATGTTGTCATAATTTAATAAATAAATAATGATCTGATTAAACTTGGAATTAGGTGATATAGTTTATCTGCTTGTAATTCACTGCATACAGATGGTATATCAATTGCAAACATGTCAAGTTAATGATCATCATAAACTTTTTGTTCGTTGCAAGATTATAGTAAGGTCTGATTACTAAATGGCCGCCAACATGTATGTTTATTGAAAAAGTGTGCATCATGTTCATAAGAAACTTTAAATCTTTATTTGAGCAATCGACCCGTGAAGATTCCGGTGTAGAATAGGTCTTAAGCAACCCATGCTTGCTGTAAAAGGCGGCTATGCTTGTCGTAAAAGGCGACTAATGGGATCGGGTGGTCAGGCTCGCTGACTTGGTTGATGCATGTCATCGATCCCATTTTGCTTGGATTGATGCTCATGATATTAACCACTGGATTGTCTGGTCCAGACTCGATTATTTACAGAATGCCGTCATATAGCTGGAATATTGCTGAGTGCGGCGTTAAACAACAAACTAACCAACCAACTATTTGAGCAATCGTAGAGAGATTTTGTAAAATACAGAAACAATGATATTGTCACTGGGAAGGGTCCCTTATTTAGGTCTTACTGCATCACAGCCTTAATATGCCAATTAGATGATGCTGAGAGATATTTCTACTGATATTTTTGATGAAGCAAAGAAACAAAATTCATATTTAGAAAATGTGTACGATGGACAGTTGTAATAAAAAATATAATTTTCCCCATTTTTGCAGATTGTCTAGAGTATTATGACAACATAAGCTGAACTTTGGAGACAATATGGAGTCTTCATCCCACTCTAGTAGGAGTAGGAGAGACAAGGAGGAGAGAGGTGAGTGCAGTGTAGGGAGCTCAGGTGGTATCCTGTGTAAGGAGAGGGGTAACAGGCAGTGTTGGGAGCTCTGATATATGTTGTTTGGAGGAGAGAAGCAAGGGGCAGGATAGGGAGCTCTGATGTATCCTGTGCAAGGCTGAGAGATGTCAGGAGCAGTGTAGGGAGCTCTGATGTTATCCTGTGCAAGGCTGAGAGATGTCAGGAGCAGTGTAGGGAGCTCTGATGTTATCCTGTGCAAGGCTGAGAGATGTCAGGAGCAGTGTAGGGAGCTCTGATATGTTATCCTGTGCAAGGCTGAGCGAGGTAAGGGGCAGTGTAGGGAGCTCTGATGTTATCCTTTGCAAGGCTGAGAGAGGTCAGGGGCAGTGTAGGGAGCTCTGATGTATCCTGTGCAAGGCTGAGAGAGGTCAGGGGCAGTGTAGGGAGCTTAAATGTTAACCTTGTGCAAGGCTGAGAGAGGTCAGGAGCAGTGTAGGGAGCTCTGATGTTATCCTGTGCAAGGCTGAGCGAGGTAAGGGGCAGTGTAGGGAGCTCTGATGTAGGTAGCCTGTGTAAGGAGGACAAAGGTATTAAGTGCAGTGTAGGGAGTTCATATGTGTAAGGAAGGTTTTGTTTGTGTATCAAAATGGTTTTGTTGGATTTGGCATTTTGTGAGGACTCGGAGGAGGAAAGAGATCAATGTTTCATCTGGTTAGGTACAGAATGTTTGCCATCTTTAAAGTATCAAGTATGGATGTCAAGAAAAAGTTGCCACATGGTACGATACATATCTCGATACAGAAGTCAAGATATGATACATATCTCGATACTGCATATACAATATTTTGTCTAGAAAACCCAGTCATTAGACTGGGAATTGAGCCCATATTCTCACTCACAAAAGTAAAGACAGACAACTGACTAATACCTATCGACATGACACTGAGATGTGAGAAAATAATTAGAAACAAACAAGTGTATGTACTGTATTATGGTTTCGCATCGGAAAGACGACCATGAAAGTTATGAGGAATTAAATAAATTGTTTGTACTTGCTAATTGATATCGATCGATAACAACATGGACTGTCGATATGGGCCTGTGAATTGATGCCAGGGTACCGTATTGTGCAAAGTTTGCTTAGTGATGCACCGATGTACCGGTAATTTCTCATTCATCCAGACATGAGGCCAGCCAAACGCAGACATGTGTCTAGTGACAGCAGCAGTGACGACACTGACTCCTCCTCTTCAGAATCAGGTAGGCTTACAACACACACAGCCATTCTGTCAAAGATCAGCAGAACTTTCATGCTCTGAGTTGTAGCAGCAGTGTGATGAAACAGCACGTATCATGACATGCGTTGTGATGAGTATTGTAATACTTTAAAAATTGAATGATTGACACTTGAAGTTAATGGAATCTGCTTTACAGATTTCTTTTGCTGATATTTTAAACTGTTATATTTATTTAAGTTACATTTAACCTTGTTTATTCAGATGTGGACAGACACAGGAAAAAAAAGAAAAGACACAGGGACTCCTCGGATTCTTCCTCATCAGGTGAGCTACAGTTCCTATTATACACACTGTGGCAATTGGGACGTCGCTTCACCCGATAAAGGACTGCCGAAAACCCACATCCTTAAACAACTGACTGTATTTGGGTAACACATGCTCTCACCCATCTTCAGCCATTTATTCTTGTGTGCTGTAGGCCCAGTGTTCTAATCTGCCACTAATTTTGTCCCTTAGCCTGCCAGGAGGATCTGCTGATTGTGGTTTGAATCCCTAGTTACTTCATGGTTACGATCCTTGGTTTGTCTGCACCATGCCCAGTTGTTTGGTTTTCACCAAAATGGTTTTAAGAGGCTAGGGCAAACCCAGTTTACTCTAATTTTGCAGAGAATAACTAGAAGTTTATGATGGAGTCAATCTCATTATTATTATCATCAAAGACATAGAGCTCCATTGTAATTTAGGACAACATATGCAAAGTAGAATAAAGTACAACCTACTTTATGGGCCATTTTCAAACGTAGGCAATAATGAAGGTCACTTACCATTGGTAAGCACTTAGTATCGAACTTAGAAAATAACTAAAGTTTTTCATCACAAGACACATTTTCTGCACTTTTATTTATGATGTTGTTTTTCTTTTCTACAGATGATAACCATCGCAGGAAGAGGAGCAAGAAACACCACAAGCATAAGCACAAGGTATTCAGAAAGTTTTTTACGAAGGAGCTGAAGATTTTTACCCCTTATAATATATTCCCCTTGGGGATCATGAATTGGAGAATAGGTCTATCATGCTTGTCGAAAGAGGCGGACCCCCTTCGTGGTCTAGTGGTAGAGCATCTGCCTGGAGAGCAGAAGGTCTGGAGTTTTGGGCTACACCATACCAAAAGACATTAAAAGATGGTGCTTGTTAGCCTGCCTGGCGCTCGGCATTCAGGGGCTTAAACAAGGACTGGTCGGATCGGAGTCAGTATACTGTGTCTGAGTGGGGTATTCATGTTAAACTGCATCATGGTATCTCAGAGATCTAGCACTGCAAGATCGGCATTAGTCCAAACAAACAAGTGCTGTAGGATCAACATTAGGCCAAACACACATGTGCTGTAGGATCAACATTAGGCCAAACACACATGTGCTGTAGGATCAACATTAGGCCAAACACACACGTGCATGCATGTTGCTATGTAAGTGCAATAATCTTGAACAAGGCTTTCACTTCCATTTCACCTCCCCAAAAGAGGCGAGTTGATGGATCAGAAGGTCTGGCTCTTTGACTTGGCTTATTGCGTGTCATCATACTTCAACAGAATTGTTTGTCTGGTCCAGACTCAAGTATTTACAGCCTGCTATCATGGCTTGAATATAGCTGGAGTGCAGCATTCAACAACCAACAAACCTTTTCCATGCGTACAGACTCATATTTTGTGAGAATTGTAAGTCAATACCTGATCAGTTTTCTGATTTTTAGGCAGATTTCTATTAAATGCCTTTTCCAAAAATAACTATGTATGTTCATGGCTATTTTTATAAGACAACTCCAAAACCAGGTTGGACTGAATAATCAATATATAACGACTGTGATTATATTGCTGAAATATTGATGATTTTTGCATAAAAACAACATTCACCTATTCACTTCTGACATGTTCTAAGAGCTATAAATAGGTTATTGACTCTCTCTGTTCGGTTTGTTACATCACTAACGATTGCCTCCCTTGTATTGGTATGTGACCTTGACCTGGCATCTGCTGTTTGACCTTTGACCTGGGTGATACATGGTGATGAAATCCTCCAACAGAAGAAGAAGAGAAAACACTCCAAGGACAAAGGACCAGTCCAGCTCTCTAAGGTAGTGTCCATCACCTGTTGGGATCTCACATACTTGGGGACAGCCATTTTGCCCAGGAGTAGGTCCGGCTGTCCCAATACATGATTAGGCTATAATAAATTATTTCCTAGATTTACATCCCTCCTTTTGTTGTACCCATGTACCAAGAGATGCAAACATTTATACATGTGTTCTCTTCATACTTAACTCACATGGGGGCACAGGTGCCCCTGTTGTCTAAGGCGCTGCAATTCACTATGCAGAGTTGCGTCCCTTGGGCACGCCAGAAACATATGATCGTGGGTTGAATCCCAATTCGCCCCGATTATGTTTCTAGGTTTGTCAGCACCATACCCATGATTATGAGTTTCACCACAGTGGTGAACGTCTAAGAGCTGCATCACTTCGGGCTTTCCTCCCCCAAGCTGACACTTGTTAAACCAACTCACTCACACCATCCACGTTGTCTAACCAGGCATTATCAGTCCTTCACAGTACATGTATATATAACTGATTACCCCCTTGTTCCATTATATGTAAAACTGCAAGCTCCTTCCCAGCGCATGACACCTTCATTACACTCTCAGTAACATCACTGCCTCCAGTGTGGGCGCGGCCATTACAAGAATCTTGAAATTTCCCCTCTAACCCCAAATCTAGTAACGTTTATACTTTTGTTTATGTCTTTGGGAATGCCATCATATTTCATTTTCAAAAGGTTTAACTCCCAAGCATGGTTGTGGCCACCTATCACAGTGGGGAGTTTTAACTGGTGGCAGCGATTGTATGGTGAGCTCCGCAAACGGGCTATCGCTGTGAGGAGCTTGGTAAAACTGTTGTCACTGACTACCTCCCTTGTTCCAGTATATGTAAAACCGTTGTCACTGACTACCTCCCTTGTTCCAGTATATGTAAAACCGTTGTCACTGATTACCTCCATTGTTCCAGTATATGTAAAACCGTTGTCACTGATTACCTCCCTTGTTCCAGTATATGTAAAACCGTTGTCACTGACTACCTCCCTTGTTCCAGTATATGTAAAACCGTTGTCACTGATTACCTCCATTGTTCCAGTATATGTAAAACCGTTGTCACTGATTACCTCCCTTGTTCCAGTATATGTAAAACCGTTGTCAATGACTACCTCCCTTGTTCCAGTATATGTAAAACCGTTGTCACTGATTACGTCCCTTGTTCCAGTATATGAAAACTGTTGTCACTGATTACCTCCCTTGTTCCAGTATATGAAGGAGAAGGGTGCCCGCAGTTCCATCTCGGGGAAGAAGATCAAGATGAAGGTGAAGAAGTCCAAGCACGATAAACAGGTGAGATTCAGCTCGATTATACACTGTGTCATTTGGGAAGTTGTGCTTGATGATGGAAAATTGTTGGCATGTCTCTTATGACAGGTAAAGTCTTAGGTATAAAATTCAAGAACAGGTCCAGAGCTTGTCAGACTTCAGATTCTAATGCAGGATCAGCAGATCCTGGTTTGGCTAAGGAGCGCAACTCTGAAACAACTATGTATATCCCAAAATAATGGTAGAACAGGAGATTGTTGCTATTTGACTGTAGTTTGAGATACTAACTACAATCTCATTAAAATCAGATCTCTTACTCCGATAGGATACTTCTCTCTGTAAGATTTGAAATCCTTTCATACTTTGATACGTCGCGTCAGACCGTAACGTAGGACCGAGGTAGACTAATGTACTTACTAGAATCCAAGATTGAGGATGAAAGTGAAGAACGGGATAACAACACTGTACTGTATTTCCTCTATAGGCCTGAAGCAATTTAAATGGCAAAATCAGCGCCAGGGCCCCGTTCAACAGAGCGATCTTAGTGCTACGTTGGTCGTAGGCCTATGATAAAGTATGGGAGTTACGACCAACTTAGAACTAAGATCGCTTTGTGGAATGGGGCCCAGGGTCTAAAAGCAACTAAATCACAGTCAGCTCCAGAGCTCATATTGGAGTACTTGTAACTCAGTATTGTTATCTTCTTTTTCTTTCACACAACAGTCATGTTTATTACAAGAAATACGGTTTGCGGTATTCCTGGTATTCTGCTGTTTCATTTGTTTTGGGTGCTCACATGTGTTAGTGGAAAAGTGTTTCATCATCACTCCGGGGTAGGCGAAGTGCAGCAGGCACTTGGATTTTATAATTGGATTCATTATTTTGGTTGTTTATCGTATCCATCCTCAGCTTCAAGGAGAGCAGTTGGTTGGAAGAACACAAATAAACTAATGTTTTTTTGATAAATGCCATTGCTTGAGAATACGCCTGATATGTTGTCCGTTGTGTAAGATTTGTAAGATAAATGGTTCTCAATTTGATAGTCTATTGTTCTATGTTTGAAACAGTTGCAGTATTGGGGTTGCGATTTTGAAGACCGAAAATAGGGCTTATCTGACAGAAAAACATATAGGCAGGCACTTCCCTTCTTCAAATATCATAACGATAATACACTATAAAGTAATAATAACTTATTAGGTTGGATATGGTAAACTGCCAAAATACATGTGTTTCAAACTGATCTCTTCCAGCGAGACAAGAACAGAGCCCAGCTGCTCCAGTTTCTGAATGATGCACTGTAAGATACGAAGACTTTGCTGCTAGACATTGTACTGCTGTCGGAAATTTATGTTATAAAGAATGGAATTCCATGTCCTTTGTTGTTTAAACGTCGATGAGTCTAAATGTTGATATATTAGACATTTGTGTGAGAGCTGCATGCCCATTAAATTAAGCACTGATAATCAAAATATGGTCTGAGTACCAACTTGCATTTTCAACATGCAGTGTTTCTGTGTTCTCGGGTATATAAACTGGACAAAATGGTTGATATTTACCAGACAATTATGGCTTGGATCATTCAATTCAAGGGCTGTCAGTACATGGGCCCATTTCATAAAGCGATCATAGCACTACGACTGTAATAAGTCTGTGTTAAAATATTCGAGTTACGATAATTATAGCGCAAAAATCACTTCATGAAACTGGGCCCTAGTGTCTGGCAGACATATGGTCATCGTAGCCCAGTTGCTCGATTATTTACGGACCGCCATCTTATAGCTGGAATATTGCTGAGTGCGGCGTCAAACAACAAACAAACAAACAAACAATCAATCACTGGATTGTCTTGTCCAGACTTGATTATTTACAGGCCACTGTTGTATTCCTGGAACATTGCCAAGTATGGTGTCAAACAATAAAACAAAATAAGAGCGTGAAACCATCCTCTGAGCAATATGAGTGATTAATGGGGCGGAAGATGCAAAGTGATATCATGGTGGCAAAAGGGTCCAGGGTACGTATCCTAATAGACTGGAGCTGACAGTCAAGGATGTGATAGTTGTTTGTTTTGGGTTTGTTGACACCACACACGACAATATTCCATCAATATAGCAGCCTGTAATTAATCGAGTGTGGACCTGACAATCCAGCAATTGCCATCATGATCAACCAAATCACAGAGTCGGACCATCCCATCCATTAAGTTGCCTCTTATGACAAGCGACAGTTTCCGTGGTCTAGTGGTAGAGCATCCACCCGGAGAGCGGAAGGTCCAGTGTTTGATCCCCAGCCGCGTCATACCAAAAGACGTTAAGAGATAGTACCATGTCTGGTGCTCCTCATTAAGGGGCTAAAACAAGGACAGGTCGGCTCGGAGTCAGTACACTGTGTCTGATTTGGGTATTCATGTTAAACTGCGGCATGGTATCTCGGTGAGCTAGCACTATAAATCGGCATCAGTCTGGACTAGTACAAGCAGCCACAGCCACAGCCACAGCCACAGCCACATGTGCATGCATGTCACTATATAAGTGCAATAATCTTGAACGCAACGTTAAACAAACTTTCACCTCAACTCACCTCTTACGACAAGCATTGGTAGCTGAAGACAAATTCTAACCCGGATCTTCACGGGGATGTCCGACCGCGTGATCCATTGACTCATCTCTTGCGACCAGCCTAGGTTGCAGGAAACAGTTCCTTGATCCCCCACAAGATCAAGGAGATGATAAAAGGTTATTTTGTTTTGTTTATGAGGTTAGAGCTGGAATACTGCTGACTGCAAACTTAAATAACATTCCCTCATCACTCTCACTCACTCACAAAGTACAGACAAAGTGTCAAGATGATAATATTTATTTCACTAAACAACAAACTTATCTGTAACTATGGTAACAATGAGTATTTCATAAGTGCCAAGAAGTAGATTACAAGGATATGTTTACTTACTGGATGAACAACATAAATATACTGAATGTTCACAACTAAACCCAACCTCCGAATAAAGATGGTTGAATGAGGATGTGTTTCTAGTAAATACTAGAAGTTGTCCACTTAATGATTCGACATCAAGAAAATATTGGAATGCATTTATCATGAGATGACAAATGAGTATGTATACTACTGAAAAGAAGTTAATGAACACCCATTATTTTTATATGACTACAGTTAATCTGTCATGTCATATAACAAATTGGGCCTTTGTTTAACTTCTCTTGAGTAGTATTTTATGCTTTTAACAATCATGAAACAAAATCAGGAATAATCACTGTAAATAAAACTATCCATATTAAATCCTCAATCTCATTAAAATCTGATCTTAGTTCTCGCTACCGCTAAACATAGATCTGAAGCCATCCCATTAAGGGTCACGTCAGAACGACCTTTTATCCAACCAATCAGAGTGACGCTTTCCAGATCATGAAACTGGCAGTCGGAATGTTTTTTTCTGAACATGCAACCACGAAATATTTAACACGGGGTATTCCGAACGACAGTTACAGGTTTTATGATTATATCCATACAATCTAGGCCATCGATAAGCCATTCAAAATTTTTTAATGGAGAATATGTCAAAATATGTTTCGAAGCGTAGTCGCCAGTTTGAAACTAGTGTCGTAAAGCTCGAGAAAGCTGCCGTCTGATTGGCTAATGTCGATTTCTTGTCATTTTATTGGTAGGTCAAAATTCGCGAAAGGTCGCTCTGACGTGACCTGTAATGGGATGTCCTCAGATCTTTGTTCAGCGGTAGCGAAAACTAAGATCTGATTTTAATGAGATTGATTAAATCCTCAAAGTTGAAATGATGGTCAAAGCATGATTTACAGCTCAAAATATAGTGATAAAAATGTTGTCCATTTTTCTACACAACGATGGGTTCCAGTATGAGTTTAGGTTAATAAGATAAATACCTCACAGACCATGTCACATTCTTGTGGGGGTGGATTTTTTTAGAATAATTTGCTCAAATCTGGGAATATAGGTTTTTCGTAGATTTTACACCAAAAGATATAATTATTCTCAGGATATGCTGAAAGTCCTGAAAAAAAAAGTTTTAAAAAGGTGTTCGGTGACAGAGAAAATATTCTGTCTCCGGCAAAATTTCGTCAATTCCACTCCTACCCAAGAATGGTTAGCTCTCACTTCCAGATTGAACCATTTAAAGTTTTTAATGGGAAAAAATAATGTGATGAGATATGTCTAACATGACACAGACCAGATATAATGTTGCTCCTGTGCCAATACCAGAGAACAAGAACAATCATCTGGGCAGTGAGCTACAGTATGGAAGTCCTGAACACAATGATACTGTTAGACTCATGAAGACGTGTCATGGCTGGCACCACAGTAATGGAAGGATATATAGGTAGGCTGAGCCTTGGACAACATGGAAGCACCATGTGATGGACCTAGCTAACATACAAACTACCTTGTTAGTGAATTGTTTGATAGGCATTACTTAGAAGTTGATGGATGACAAAGTAGAGACAAGTTATGCATAACAACTTCTTTATTTACAGCAAAGGCAACGTTTTGGTATGAATCCTTATTCTGTTGTCAAGTCTATACCCAAACGTCGCCTTTACAGTAAATAAAGCAGTCCTTATCCATAAATTGTCTCTACTTTTGCTGGGCTAGTCAGTGGGCAAGCTTGGATGGGCTGCAAGATCTGATCTACCAGATTTGGAAATCAAACATCAAATGATAAAATGATCTCTTGTCAGTAGCAGGATTAGTACACATATTGTTGACTTAGTTGGTAAGCTTCTAGTCTATACATATTTACTACCCAGGTACCCACCCCCCTATTACCCGACCCTACCCGGGTACCCACTCTAGGTCTCTAGATATTTCTCAAAATGTCCGATTGGGAACATTTTTAGCTTAGCCCTGGCAAAACGTATTTAGATGTACATGTGTATTAAACAATCTGGTCATGCATACACTGAAGTTGAATTAAGTTATATCTTTATTCAACCATATGAAAAATCAGAAGGAATGGGTGCATAGTGAGAAAGAAATGTGAACATTAGTGACTTGTAGTGTAACAATAGAGTTCTAGATACAATTTTTGTCATTAAACACTATATCCTGTGACTAACCACGGGTCCAGGTAGTCCTGTGGGTACCCGGGTCCTACTCAGTACCCACCCGACCCGGGGTACCCGAGTTACCCGTCCCAGCCCTGGCTGGCTGCATTTCAGACAAGCATCAACATCAGTATTGTGCTGTGTTAACTATTATCTATTCCTACCACAAATACTCAAGACAGGGATTTACTCAAATCTACAAACCCTGAAATGACTTTGGCACTTGGATTTCCTTTGCTCATAAAAAAGAGGACACTCCCATAGACGTTTATGACGGAGTTTAAGTGCGCATGATCGTTTGTACATCCATGTAGAAGTGAGCAGTGTTATCGTACCTACATGATGTATCAGACAACTAGTTGGAGAAAGATGAATTCAAACCTACACATTTATTCTTAAAAATCAAACACTAATCATATTCAAATGAAAAACATATTTTTAATATCATAAATAACAATATTTTTGGCAAACTGAAAGTCTACCTATTATTGTTTAGGTATCAATATAATAATTGGGTTATTACCTTAATAAGTAACCTTAATAATTTTATGCAAAGTATAATAAATAACCTGAATAAATGCTTCTAAACTGTTAAAATCTATTTTGATTTAAGGAAGTAATTTTAAAAATTTCAACGTTTCTTGAATCTGGTGATTTTGATTATGCAATGGAAATTATTTTGATTAAAACAAATCCAAAGAAGTCATTTTATGTTTTTAACTTTATAAAACTGAATGTGAATTCTAAAGTTTGTGTCAATACATGAATTACAATTACCACTGTAACTGTTGGTAACACAGACGGTGAACATGGATTGAGCCATGATGGAGTTTGCATAGTACGGAAACAAAGTCAGCAAGGGGTAACACATATCACAGACATGGAAACAAGTCAGTGTAAACAATACTTTCAGCAGCAAGACCTCACCAATACCTCACAGGTTTGTACTCGCCATGGTCCTCCATGTGCCATGAATACAGACGGCCGATATGTGGTGTAATAGCGACGCATGTCTTTTTTACCTCAAGCAATGAGGGGCGGTCGGGTAGCCTAGTGGTTACCCGTCCCAGCCCTAATTGAAGCCCAGAGAACCTCTTCATCTTCAGAAAATGGAAGAAATCAAGAATTGCCAAAATGTTGTCGAATTGTTTTAGAGTTTTCACGCCGAAGACCCGGGTTCGATTCCCGACATGGGTACAATGTGTGAAGCCCATTTCTGGTGAAGCCCATTTCTGGTGTCCCCCGCCGTGATATTGCTGGAATATTGCTAAAAGCGGCTCAAGCAATGACATGAGGCTGTGTGTACCTCATGATGTAAAATGAGGCTAGCACCATGCATGGACTTTGTTCGAACACTACCATTGCCATACTGAAGCAAAGTGAAGAGTGGAGTGGTGGGGTAGCCTGGTAGCTAAGCGTTCACCTGTCATGCCAAAGACCCGGGATCGATTCCCCTCATGGGTACAATGTGTAAAGTCAATTTCTGGTGTCCCCCGCAGTGATATTGCTGGAATATTGCTAAAAGCAGCAAAACCATACTCAAAGTCTACAACAGATGGCCAAAACATATTGCCGTTTGTCGGATGTACTCTAACTGCTGATTGGTCATAGCAATCAGTGGTTTCCTGCGTGAGTTGATTCACTGGTTGAAACTCGCAACTACACTGGATATCGGACATGTATTTATGAGTGATTTGGAATGTTGTGCATACAAACACATGAAGTATTGACATTGGCGGTAAGATTATGTAAAGACATTGAGTGATTTTTGGTGATAAAACTACAAACTAAATTTGTGTATTTTTACTATTAGTTATTATCTAAGTAAACTTTTCTAATTTACAATACAAATTGTAAAAAGACAAATCCTGTTTTTCCTTTTAACATAAAATAAATAATTTAACTCATATATGTAAAACATGTTTCAAAACAACTAAAACACTTTTTTTTCAAAAACAACCTTGAACACAAACAACATATATATACATTTGAAGAATATGAACATTGCACTTGAGAAATATTTTTTAATATGATATACATACAAATCTAATTAATTAATGTTTAAATAGTGATGCTCTAAATATAGCTAAAAAGAACTACAAAACAAATTCATCGACAATGAACGTCCCTGGAAGTTTAATACTTCAAAATATATTAGTAATTGCAGTATTTTCACGTAAAAAAACCAGCTGTGTAACTTTGTTACACATAGGTCCTCGTGAAAAAACCTCTGCTTGATGAAGATGAGGACAGCTCAAAAAGAACCGACCAATCAAATGTCTTTAATTAATACTGAGAACAAAGGCATGTGACTTTGGACGAGTTCTTATTCATCAAATTACGTTGTTATTTTTATCTTCAAATAGTACAAGCATTCAACATCAGAGCTCCAGATAACTTTTTGAGCAATTGAGTTTTCACTCGAAGGATTCTATTTCAATTGGGTTATTACATTTTTCATTGGGTAACCAATACTTTTTCACTCATCTATTCATCACTCTATTATTTTTTTCCCAAAATAAGTAAGCATTTTGAGATTTAAAAAAAATGAAATAATGATTTAGATGTACATAATGGTCCTAAATATTGGCTTGACTCGGAAAGTAAATTAGCTCGTAATTGTGTTTCGGAAATTAGCTCCGTTTAACGCATGCTGAAAAAACTTCATTGGGTATTTATGTGTGCGTTTTCCATTTAATGCATGCGTTTCTGTACGCAAGGTAATTGAAAGTAATTGGGTTTTGTATTTTTTTTGGGGGGGTATTTTACGCAAATGTGCAGCTTATCTGTAGCTCTGGACATTAAAAACAGACATAAAATATATAACAAATTCTTGTTTTTCTCTGTGAAATCAACATTTGAACATATTCACACAATACACAGAAACAGTATACCACATAAAGTTTCACAATAGAATGTACACTCTGTGCTGGTTCCAGCTCCAGTAAGTAAAGAGGAACTTGAAAACTTCAACAAATGACAAACAACAATGAGACTTTGAAAGGTCAACGATGCTACAGAACTGACAAGTTAGTCTTTGAAGACTTCAAGTGTCCTTGGCCTTGGTCATCAGAGCGATCACAGCGCAGCAGCTTTCAGATGTTATGGATTTAAAGACCAGTATTGCAGTAGCACACTTAGTAGTGAGCATAGCCTTTTCTGAAGAAAGAGGTCAGGTCAATTTTTGCAATGTAATATTTCATAGATAGAAGCTAGGGCTGGGATGAGTCCAAATTTACTACCCAGGTACCCGGCCCCCTATTACCCGACCCTACCCGGGTACCCACTCTAGGTCTCAGGAGATGTCTCAAAATGTCCGATTGGGATTATTTTTAGCATAGCCCTGGCAAAACATATTTAGATACCTGTATTAAACAATCTGGTCATGCATACACTGAAGTTAACTTAAGTTAAATGTTTATTCAACAGTATGACAAATTAGAAGGAATGGGTGCAGAGTCAGAACGAAAAGCGAACATTAATGACTTGTAGTGTAACGATAGAGTTCCAGATAATTTTAGTCATTAAACAATTCATCACGTGACTAACCACGAGTCCGTGTAGTCCTATGGGTACCCGGGTCCTACTCTGTACCCACCCGACTAGGGTACCCGAGTTACCCGTCCCAGCCCTAATAGAAGCCCAGAGAACCTCTTCATCTTCAGAAAATGGAAGAAATCAAGACTTGCCAAAATGTTGTCGAATTGTTTTAGAGTTTTCACGCCGAAGACCTGGGTTCGATTCCCGACATGGGTACAATGTGTGAAGCTCATTTCTGGTGTCCCCTGTCATGATATTGCTGGAATATTGCTAAAAGTGGCGTAAAACCATACTCACTCACTCTTACAACCCAAAAGAATTTTGTGTCATTTGATATCAGTAATATTGAGGACAATACAGTTTGCAGATTGTCAAGCACTAGTCATACTCTGAAGGTGATAGATTCTGGAGTTTCAAAGATGTACCTGGGTATAGTTTAAGTGAGTGAGTGAGAGAGAGTTTTGTCCAATGTTACTTGAACAGTATTTCAGTCACAACACGGCATGTCGGCAGACTTTAGGATGCAGGTCTCAGATGTCTACTGGTATGGAGAATCCCACGGCACTGGTATGGTGATCATACCAATGATCATAAGGGTGAATCGAACCTATGATAACAGGATCACAATACATCCAAGGGACACAACTCTGCAAGTCAGGTTGACATGTGAGTAAGATTCTTTATGAAGAACATAATTACCGCTGTTTCATATGATAGACAAAAATGTCCGAAAATGCATTGTCCATGTTTGTTATAGGCAGAATTGACTGTAAATGTGATAGACTATCACATACATATTTAATACAACATAGTACTTTAACATATTCACACATCATCACTGAATATCATCATCATCATCATCATCATCATCATCATCATCATCACTGAATATCATCATGGTACACCACCAGAACACTGGATACCCATCTGCCATGTTTATTTGATGCTACAGAGTATTTTTCATTAACATTGCAAGCTACAAATGACATTGACTTATGATAGCTTTTGTTTCAAGCTGATGTGTGGGGGGCACCCTGCCACCCTATTATTTAAGTGAATCAGCTGAAATTGGGTGGAAAATGATGATGATGATGATGATGATGATGATGATGATGACTGCATGATTGATCCCTACACTATGATGCACAAAATGCCAATAACATAAGTTCTGTTTATTATGTGGACAGCATTATTTTGTATGATCATATATTTGTGTTATTTTTTTCTTCAAAAAGCACAAACATCTGACAATAAAAACTGACATAAAACTCTTGTTTTTCTCTGATAAATCAACATTTAAACATATTCACGCAATACACAGAAATAGTGTACCACACAAAGCTTCGCAAGAGAATGTACATTCTGTGTGCAGTTCCTGCTCCTGTAGAAAGTTATCAAAGAAGGAATTGGAAAACTTCAATATTTGACAAACAACAATGAGACTTTGAAAGGTCAACGATGCTACAGAACTGACCTTGACCTAGATGATTGAGTAATACTCTTCCGATGCTGATAAGCCAAGCAGCTAGAACCCCTGCAAGATGTGGCAGTTAACCTGCACTACTTCGATGCTCCCTTGGTGGGATTTGTTTTTTGTTTATCTGTGGCAATCTCAGCATCCAGTCGCTTGTGCTCACTTTCCACTGTCTTCCGTAGATCCTTCTACAAAGAATCAGAGAGATCGATGAATGAGATTGTGTGGGCTTTGATGCTGTAGGCTTATCAAGGACCTTAATCAGACTCTATCCCATAATACTATGTTTATCTGAATAGAAACATACAATTGGGCCACTCTAATATGTCCTGAATCCGCAAATCACTATCTTCCCGCTGGCAATCTCACCAGAATATTTCCACTACGTGACCATGGATAATCAACCAGAATCAGTAGAACTGATGCTACAGATTTGTTGTGCAAAGATACAAAGACATGATTATCATTGACATTGGGTCTCAAACAAATTTATTATGATTTGTTGTTTGGTCCAAATTATCCAAGGCACCATCAAACACCTCCAAACCACACCAATCTCATTAAAATCAGATCGAAGTTCTCGTTGCCGCTAAACCAAGATCTGAGGACATCCCATTACGGGCCACGTTAGAACAACCTTTCCCGAACTTTGACCGACAACTGCAACGGATAACGATATCAGCCAATGAGAAAGCAGCTTTCTCAAGCTATACGGCACTTGTTTCAACCTGGCGACTTCCATTTCAGACTACGCTTGGAAAATATGTTGACACAGTTCTCGATTAAAATTTTGAAAACTGAACAAACGAACATTCCGGAATGTCTAATATATGGTTGAGATTGTATGGAGTGCTTCCCACGTACTGTGCAACGCCTCCTTTGTTCAAATGTGTATCCCACGGAAGCGAGAGATAGACGATCACTTTGATGGAATCAGTCGTACAGGCCGTAACTGTCGTTCAGAATACCCCGTTTTAATGTTTTCGAGGTTGCATGATTAGAAAACACATTCCGAATGTTACGTTCATGATCCGGTAAGCGACGCTTTGATTGATTGGATGAAAGGTTGTTCTGACGTGACCCGTAATGGGATGTCCTCAGATCTTTGTTTACCGATAGTGAGAACTAAGATCTGATTTTAATGAGATTGCAGTCCACACCACCCCTGAATGTGACTTGGCTTGTCCCTCAGGCTAGCTAGATGTTGTCATGACTCACCCCCCATCCAACCAGTTCCGAGAGGCTGTAGCAGCCTTCATCACATGTGGCTTTCTTGAAGACATCCCGATAGTTGCCCTCCTCATCGAAGTTGAGCGTGGAGCCACCACCCATTAGCAGCATCATGAAGGGATCGACCTGCAAATATCACATGTCCGACGTACAGGCGACACTTTTCACACTTGTTACCATGGCTTTGGAAAACACTGGATTCTGATAGGTCACTCAGTAGGGCATGGACGAGTCCAGATTTACTACCCAGGTACCCAACCTCCTATCACCCGACCCTCCCCGCGGCCGGTCTCAAGAGATGGGTTCACAATGTCCAATTGGATCTAGTTTGACCGTAGCCATGTCAGCTTGCTGACGGGGTTAACCTCTGTGGTCATGTGGACAAGGCGTCCGACCTCAGATCAGAAGGTCCGTGGATGGAATCACGTTACAGGACTCGGACATTATATGGACGCTTCATACACAAGCTTCATTAGCTTTGTTACATTGTTACAGACAATTGTTTATATCATCTGCCTCATATCTTCCATGTGTAAAACACCCACCTGCCCGACTGTCTGAGATAGGCTGTTTTGTCTTGGACAACCAACTTTTATAACATGTATGTTGATTGTCTAACTTTTTATTTAATGAAAATATAAGATATGAACTTGTATCAAGACTTGCATTTAGGTAATGACTGGGTATTCATATAGCGCAGAAAACTTGTAATATTCCGAGTAGCATGTGTAGAGAAATGATGCTAATGATACTTGACAGTGTTTTCAACTTTGGTTATTAAACCCATCACAATTGTTTCAGTTTTTGTTCTGTGTCCAATCACAGCTAACACTCAACAATATTCCAGCTATATGACGGCGGTCTGTAAACTAATCGATTCTGGACCAGACAATCCAGTGATGGACATCATGAGCATCGTTCCATACAGTTGAGATTGATCACAGCTAAAAAAAGGAAAGCTTTTACCCTGATGTAAAATGATCCTGCGTATTTGATGCAGTGTGAGCATGTCATTACGTAACAAAATATCAACCATGATCAGTGTTGATGCAGCCAAATTGTGTATTATGTGGCTGTGTCCTGGTTATACCTCCACTTTTGTATGTACACTTATTCAAGCTCCTTCCAAGCGCGTGACACCTTCGTTACACTCTCGGTAACATCGCTGCCACCAGTGTGGGCGCGGCCATTACAAGAATCTTGAAATTTGGCCTCTAACCCCATATGTAGTAACGTTTATACTTTTGTATATGTCTTTGGGAATGCCATCATATTTCATTTTGAAAAGGTTTACGACTGACAATGTTTTCCAGCTAAATTTACTTTGTTGTTTTAATAAGCAGATTGGTTCGAGAAAATCAACCAACTTCTCCCTTACATTCTTAATATATCAATTAAAGATGATAGTTTTAATGAAATAGAAATTCAAATTGACAAACAAAGAAAGTAATTTATCAGCGGTAAGTGTATTCGGCGTCACAACAGTCGTCACATGTTTGTAAACATAACGGTCATTCGGTTGCGGGTTCAACTCCAAGCATGGTTGGGGCCACCTTTCACAGTGGGGAGTTTTGACTGGTGGCAGCGATAGTATAGAGAGCTCTGCGAATGGACTATCGCTGTGAGGAGCTTGACGCGTATTACCTCAAGGGAGACTACTCTGTAGGAAGTCTGGATATCATCCATGGGGTCGTATAGTTGTTACGGAAGTAATATTAAGTTCAAAAAAGGAACTTCAAGATAAGAGGCATAAACAAACAGTAAATATATCTAGATAATAAATGACAAGAAATTCTAGAGCTCAAATTAACTTCTGTTGCGAGATTATTTCCTTGTATTGTATTGAAATGGTCTGCTTTTGCGTTTTTTAAAGCAATAGTCCTAACATTTGGTTTAACTGGAGTCTTGTCAATAAGTGTTTCAAAAAAAGAAATTAAAAGAGTAAGAGATGACGTGTTGATGTTCTTTATCGGGGAAGATTGTGAAGTGTAGTCATAAACTACATGGTATTTCTTCAAGTAAACAAACAGGAAATAATTTTTTTTGTAAATGAAAACGTAAAGTTTGTGATGTAGAGAATCTCACCCTCATGTCTTTTGATATCAAATATATCAACACGAGTTGATAAAAGTGGAAAAATTCCGAGGCTTGCCGAGGATTTTTGCCACTTTTATCAACGAGTGTTGATATATTTGATATCAAAAGACACGAGGGTTAGATTTTATTTATCATCCAACATCATTCTTCCAACTTTTTCAGTTTGTAGAAAAAACGTTCCTAGACTTGATTATTTACAATTTCAGTTGTATTTCCTCTATGCTAGAAAGTTAAAGATTAATGTGTATAATTCTCCCGAAAAAAAAGCTGGAAAGAGAAATCAGCTGGACACATTTTCATTATATGACTGCTATAAGTTGGGCACTATGACAAAGTGTATCACTCCATCCCTAAAGGATTTGTAATAACCAACTAATCCTATATTTGGAGTTGAGATATAGTAGACTACTACAGACTCATAACACATTGTAAATAGCTCCTAAGTAGTCTGATACAATATCCACCAAAAGAAGTTATAAATTTTTAATTTTTAGTCCATTTATCACACTACATTTATGATGTGAGGTGAGATGAAATTGGGTTTAACGTTGCGTCCAAGATTATTGCACTTATATAGCGACGTGCATGCACGTGTATGTGTGTGTATGGCTGCTTGTACTAGACCAGACTGATGCCGATTAATAGTGCTAGCCCACTGAGACACCATTCCGCAGTTTAACATGAATACCCCACTCAGACACAGTACACTGACTCTGAGCTGACCAGTCCTTGTTTTAGCCCCTTAATGCCGAGCCAGACAGGGTAACAACAAGTACCATCTTTTAACATCTTTTGTTTTGACGTGGCCGGGGATCGAACCCCGGACCTTCCGCTCTGCTGGCAGACGCTCTCCCACTAGACCACGGAGGCGGTCTCATTACATTCAAGACTACTGCACATATGATAAAGTGCTGGTATCCTACTTAAAGACTAGAATAACTCAAACCATTTCTGGAACAGAAGGCTGTTTTCTGAGCTGCCCGGCAGCTTTGTCTACAAGTGTTCTCTAGCATAACGAGAAATTCTGGAGTCTCACATCTGTGTTTCCCTTATCCAGGTTGATGTACAAGCGGGGTGTTTTTGTCGGCACTCTGAAATATAAACAGTGAGTTAATTTTGTTTAACACGCTTTGAACAGTTGAATAGTCTTCCAATTATATCACATTATCCCAGCTTGATGTAGGAGGAAGGCCCGGAGTGATGTGGGTCTTACCAATTATCAATTCTGATTGAACCCACGAGCTCAGAAATGGTGCTGACAAACCATGAAGTAGAATCAGCACAAATCTGGGATTCAAACTCATGATCAAAGAATTCCAACAAACGTAAGGGATGCAACTCGAACTGCGGTAACTTAGACAATATTTTCATTAACATACAGACTTAATGCCATTGAGTCCTAGAAAGACATCATCATTTGCAGGCATTGAATACAAGAGGCTGTAGAGATATAAATGTTGTTTTCCCTGTTTCACATGTTAAGCAACAAAAAAGCATAATCTGTCCTGGTCATTCCAAAACAGGACACTACAAGCTCATTAAAATCAGATCTCAGTTCTTGCTACAGCTAAACAAAGATCTGAGAACATCCCATTACGGGTCACGTCAGACCGACCTTGCGCGAACTATGACCGACCAATGGAATGACTGACAAGAAGTTGACATTAGCCAATCAGAAGGCAGCTTTCTTCTGCTTTACAGCACTAATTTCAAATTGGCGACTACGCTTCGAAACATATTTTGACAAATTCTTGATAAAAAATTTGAAACCTGAACAAAAGAACATTCTGGAGTGGCTAATAGATGGTCTAGATTGTATTAATTCAGTTGTTAAGCCCATCACTATTGTTTGGAATACCCTGTGTTAAAGTTTTCAAGATTGCATGATTAGAAATCACATTCCGACTGTCACCTTCATGATCTGGTAAGCGACGCTCTGATTGGTCAGATGAAAGGTCGTTCTGACGTGAACCCTACTGGGATGTCGTCAGATCTTTGTTTAGCGGTAGCGAGAACTAAGATCTGATTTTAATGAGATTGCAGGACACTATTTCTTAATGCTGATACAACAATGATTGCTCAATATCACTGCAAATTGAAGCATTTAGCTGGCAGTGTAAAAGACACTGCTTTGGCCTTTCGCTGACACTGATTCCAGCTGCAGTTCTGCTGTCATCAGCAAAGGGCTCCTTTGGAGTGAAAATTGAAGATTTCCATTTGTCACCTTTTTAAATCCATATAAAGCATGATCAAATTTGTTAAATTGTTGTGTGAAATTGCTCTTTCATTTACTTACTTTTAGGGTCAATGAGGTGGCCTAGTGGTAAAAGCAGTTGCTCGTCACACCAGGTTCTATTACACAATGTGAAGCCAGTATCTCTGCCTTGATACTGCTGGAATATTGCTAAAGCGGTGTAAAACCAAACTCACTCACTCACTCACTCACTTACCGTCCAGTCAGACTTGCAAATGGCTGGACTGACAGAGACGTTCCGAGGATGATGAGTAAATCACACTTTCCAAAGTCCTGGAAACAGATAGATACATGCTTATTAGCCAGCTACACATCAGTGAATGTATTACCCAGCTACACATCAATGAATGTATTAGCTAGCTACACATCAGTGAATGTATTACCCAGCTACACATCAGTGAATGTATTAGCCAGCTACATATCAGTGAATGTATTACCCAGCTACACATCAGTGAATGTATTACCCAGCTACACATCAGTGAATGTATTACCCAGCTACACATCAGTGAATGTATTACCCAGCTACACATCAGTGAATGTATTACCCAGCTACACACCAGTGAATGTATCACCCAGCTACACATCAGTGAATGTATTACCCAGCTACATGTCAGTGAATGTATTACCCAGCTACACATCAGTGAATGTATTACCCAGCTACACATCAGTGAATGTATCACCCAGCTACACATCAGTGAATGTATTACCCAGCTACATGTCAGTGAATGTATTACCCAGCTACACATCAGTGAATGTATTACCCAGCTACACATCAGTGAATGTATTACCCAGCTACACACCAGTGAATGTATCACCCAGCTACACATCAGTGAATGTATTACCCAGCTACATGTCAGTGAATGTATTACCCAGCTACACATCAGTGAATGTATTACCCAGCTACACATCAGTGAATGTATTACCCAGCTACCATCAGTGAATGTATTACAAAGCCACACACCAGTGAATGTATTACCCAGATACACATCAGTGAATGTATTACCCAGCTACCATCAGTGAATGTATTACCCAGATACACATCAGTGAATGTATTACCCAGCTACACATCAGTGAATGTATTACCCAGCTACACATCAGTGAATGTATTACCCAGCTACCATCAGTGAATGTATTACCCAGCTACCATCAGTGAATGTATTACAAAGCCACACATCAGTGAATGTATTACCCAGATACACATCAGTGAATGTATTACCCAGCTACCATCAGTGAATGTATTACCCAGCTACACATCAGTGAATGTATTACCCAGCTACACATCAGTGAATGTATTACCCAGCTACCATCAGTGAATGTATTACAAAGCCACACACCAGTGAATGTATTACCCAGCTACACATCAGTGAATGTATTACCCAGCTACCATCAGTGAATGTATTACAAAGCCACACACCAGTGAATGTATTACCCAGATACACATCAGTGAATGTATTACCCAGCTACCATCAGTGAATGTATTACCCAGCTACACATCAGTGAATGTATTACCCAGCTACACATCAGTGAATGTATTACCCAGCTACATGTCAGTAAAGGTATCTGGATCATGCTTTGACCCACGGAGTACAAACTCACATGTTATCATTCACTATGGGTATTCATTGCTTTCTTTGGACATTTAATGTTTTTACTGCATAGGGTCAAATCTTTGAGTGAACCTTTAACAACATGTTGTTGACTTGTAATTGGATCTGTCCATGCGATGCTCCTAGTGTGTCACATATTGTCACATATTGTCACATATTGCCACATATTGCATAATCTGACAACAGTGATACATGTCTAAGTTACAATAAGCGAGATATAACACTTTTGTGCCTTATTCACTGCAATAGAGTCCATGTACACATGATACCTGCATCTGATCAGTCAATAAACCTCTGTAAAGACGTACAGCTATGCAATCACAAACGGCTACATTTGGGAATTACACACAGTGTCATTATACCATTGGCTTATTAATCTTCTCTTGTGTATTTGTACACAATCAACCAATTAACTGGGTTATAGAGATTCATTGTGCCTATTTTATGCAAATACTCAGCAAATCTGGAGGTCTGTTGGTTCCATCAAGGAACCCTTTGTGTCTTTTGATAAAAATATGAGGGGATTACACCAGCAGTCCAGACAGACGCCACCAATGCAACACTTCATCAAAGGTCGACACGACCCAATGCGCACCAATAGGCTTCACCACACTCCTCAGATCTACAGCCCTTGTCTTGTCATCTGCCTTCAAGTTTGTCGACACCTCCGCATACCAATCAGTGAACTGTTGTTGGTTCAATTATTTTATTGCCTTTGAACTTCCCTCATGCCAGTCAACAGAATATACATATAAACTGTGTTGTTTTTAGGAAAACACTGTTTATTGTTTTTACGGAAGTGCTTTACTCAGTGCTAATAAGCAGTGCTATTTGCTGTTTGATTGGATTAAGGTAAGGATATGTATTATTCCACAGGGGAGGGGGTGGGGTCTCATTCATACTCAGTCGCATTTTTGGCTAGGGGTCAGCAGTCCTATTAATTTGGAGACGCATTAATTTCAAGATTTACAGTATTTAAGATAGTGTATGAAAGTCCTTGAAGTATTGACTACCGTATCCGACGTAATAAGCGCCCAGGGCGCTCTCGAAATTAGAAATAGGGGGCTCTTATTAGGATAATATTTTGGTGAAAAGAGTTGAAAGATAAATTTTGTGGTTTATGCTGACAGCCTGAAATATTAAAATACGACATATATATTTTTCCAGAATTTAACTGCCCATAATTAAGGATGCATATAACACACGAGTGCGTATTATACATGAATAAATAAGTCTTTTGTACATTGATCAATCGGAAGGGGTGCTGATTGGGATTGTTCACTAGCTAATATATTAATAAATATCGGCGTGGGCGCTTATTACGTCGAATACAGTATACATGTTGTAACAAGGTGTTACTTACCTCTTTAACACAGCTGAAGAATCTGTCAGGCAACTTTTCACCAAAGAAAACAATATCTACAACAAAAAGCACCATGAATTTTTTATTAGATGTTCATCCTCGCCATCTCAGTACCAAACAACCTACCTCCCATCACACAAGTGTCCCCTAGCACCTACAGACAAAAGAAAGCGCTGTGTTCCTTTCTTATCTTGATATAAAAATACACCATATACACACTCTGCCAAACATTCATGCTTTACAAAAATTATACCCATGGCTAGTGAATATACACATAAGGAAGAGAATTTATGGATGTCAACTTCTTTATTATGAGGAACACAACGTGTCAGAGTATATGCTTACTCCATTTCACCTGATGAAGGAGTAAATATATACTCCGAAACGTTGTGTTCCTCATAATAAAGAAGTTTAAATTCATAAATTCTCTTCCTTATGTGTATCACTTCTAAATGCCTTTCAAAGACTTAATATATACACAGACTGCCTTAAAATAGAAAAAAAGTTTTAAATAAAAAACCCCGATGATTTTGACGGAATCGGTCGTACAGTCTGTAACCTTTTCGTGTTTCCAGCTGTCACTTTTCCGGACTGGGAAACAACGCTCTGGTCGTATGAAAGGTTGTTCTGACGTGACCCATAAGGGGATGTCCTCAGATCTTTGATTAGCGGCAGCAATCACAGAGAATGAAATGGAATATTTTTTAAACAACAACTTTGATCACGGCCACGTTTAAACCAGAATAATACAAGCAAGGTTCACCATTATAAACCCTGGAGTTTCACGAGATGTGAAGGTTTCAGACAGACATGACATGGTTCAGGTGACTGACCAGTTGTGACCACATACCTGGTTTGACCAGTCCAGCACAGCCCTCAGCATCACAGGTGGGCGTCTCCTCGGCAAATATCTTCTCTGTATCAGGCATACAAGAACATTTTAGAACAACTCAAATTAACTGAATATTTATGTTTTGTCTTAAACATGGTTACCACTAACTTTAACCAGGCATCATTATCAACTTAACTTGGGGGCTGGTCATTTTGTTATAGGGGGAGTGGGGATCTCAGCGGAGGGTCGCCCAAAAATATGAAGTCTCTTGGGGAGGGGCATAAAAGATAGTACACATCTTTGGGGAGAGTCATGAAAAAATTGACATTTTATAATAAAAAATAAAGGGCTCTTGCATTCTGTCCAGGTTATCGTTTGATATCTGACACCAAATTTGACTCGATGTAAATCTTTTTAATAAGCACCCTCCTCTGTAAATTTTCTAAGCGTCCAAGGCACTTATTACAGCAAATATGGTAGATCAACAAATTAGTTATAGCGTGGTTATACCCAATCACCTATATTATGCTATTTTTTGTATTTTTAATATACTTAAACAAAGGATGCGTACCTTTGATCCAGTCCTGTGAGAATTCCTTTGCACATTTGAGACAGTGGGAAGTACGAAATGTCCCATGAGCCTCCACAATCTTGTCCGCGGGGAGGCCTGTGTAATGCTCCAGTGTATCAATATTCTGAAAGATGTACAAAATGCATTCACAAAATACCAACTTTGACCACAACTTAACTGTTTCAGTGTATGATTAACACCGAGACCATGGAAGTCACTGAAACAATATGCCAGGGATATGACAACAGTCATATGGAAATAACTGAGTCTGGATCAGATGATCTGTGATTGACATTATGAGCAACAACCTGTTCCACTGAGGTACAATGACATGCAGTTAACCTTTTCACAGAGTCTGCCCACCCGATCCGTTTGGTCACCTGGTACGACAAGCATAGGTTGCTGGGGACCAGTTCTAAACAGGAATCCACCCAGAGGCTCTGTGACTTGTAAATAATCAAGTTTCAACCAGCAAACCAATGGCTGATAGCATGAACACCCAATCCCAAGTTTGGTCAACTCCCACGACAAGCAGGGAGTACTAGGGACGAACACTTCTGACAACAAGACTCCCACGACAAGCATGGTGTCCTAGGGACGAACACTTCTGACAACAAGACTCCCACGACAAGCAGGGTGTCCTAGGGAGTAACACTTCTGACAACAAGACTCCCACGACAAGCATGGTGTCCTAGGGACGAACACTTCTGACACCAAGACTCCCACGACAAGCATGGTGTCCTAGGGACGAACACTTCTGACACCAAGACTCTGTAATTCTTAAAATGGATAAGTGGGTGATTCAGCAAAATTATAGAAACATTAAAGTAATATTACGGCATCCTGTAAATAACTATAGACAAACCTGTGAGTGATATTTTGACTAATATCATAGGGGGGAGGGTAACATGTAACGTCTCTGAGCCTTGCCACACCCTTACTGTACCACTCACCTGCGTGTAATGACGGAGTAGCTTCCCCTTGTCATGGAGCTGTTTCACAAAGTAGTGGCAGGGTGTTGGCTGAAACATGCATTGTTCTTATACTGACACAGTGAAAGTCCAGAGTGGAATTTGGGAAATAATCTTTATTGAACTGACAGAAAACAAAGACATTGGAATGTGGTTGAGAGGCCTGAACGCATGCAACATTGCAATAATGTCTGAGTTTGAATCCTCATTCACGTTGTCATACCTGGACATAAGCTTCCAGTCACTTGTTACATATCAAGTGTCAAAATCAACTTTGCATTTTGTTTTATTTGGTATTGGTATACTTTTTTCTATTACGTCTTATCGTTTTGAAGGACTTATATACGAATATCATAAATCAATGTTAGTGTACGGGGCTAGTAGGATCGTAGTGTTACGAATATCATAGGTCTATGTTAGTGTACGGGGCTAGTAGGATCGTAGTGTTACGAATATCATAGGTCTATGTTAGTGTATGGGGCTAGTAGGATTGTAGTGTTACGAATATCATAGGTCTATGTTAGTGTACGGGGCTAGTAGGATCGTAGTGTTATGAATATCATAGGTCTATGTTAGTGTACGGGGCTAGTAGGATCGTAGTGTTACGAATACCATAGGTCTATGTTAGTGTATGGGGCTAGTAGGATCGTAGTGTTACGAATATCATAGGTCTATGTTAGTGTATGGGGCTAGTAGGATCGTAGTGTTATGAATATCATAGGTCTATGTTAGTTTACGGGGCTAGGAGGATCGTAGTGTTACGAATATCATAAGTCCATGTTAGTGTACGGGAGTAGTAGGATCGTAGTGTTAAGATTATCATAAGTCTATGTTAGTGTATTTGACTAGTAGGATCGTAGTGTTAAGATTGTCATAAGTCTATGTTAGTGTATGGGAGTAGAATCTTAGTGCTTAGACTTGCTCTGTGGAATGCACCCCAAGCATCTCAAGCAAACTCATTTACCACAAGCACTAATCACACTGACCAAGGGCAAATGTTTCAGGCTTACTTGTAAAGCAAATAAACCTTTGAAAAAGAAATCCCAACTATTGCATACTTTCTACATTTTGAAGACTAGGGTCTTATGCCCATTGAAACAAAATACATTGAAACCTTGTCAATCCAGACAGTACTGTCCATTATAGAAACTGTCCAGATAAACACTTTTCTGGATTAACAGACAAAAGGTGAGGACTACCTTCATATACTTTTAGTTCTAAGAGGACGTCAGTGTCAGCTACTGAAGGTTAATCGAGTCAGTTCAATGTTCATGAATGTTCCCTGACTACAAGTATTTCACAGCCTCTGTATCTTCGCACTCACCTTGAAATGTCCTGGCCACAGTTCTTTGGCAAGGTGACAAAATGGTTCTGGGTTCTCCTGTGAAAACATACACAAACATGAGCAACAATGTTTCAGAGGACCTTGGTCCTACAAGATGTAGTCAGTAGTCACCATGGTCACTACACATCACCAATCTTCCCGAGGGCACTAGCTGACTATAAACGTCACGTATACACCCATGCCAAACTAGGCTAGAATTCTGGCGCTACATTTTGGCAGGACTAATTAGTATATGCATAGTCCAATCAAAATCGTGTAATGAATTAGACATCTGGTTTGTAAACAATATGGATTTCAATGTGCAGATTTTGGTCGACTGTAGGATTTGCAAAGCATGAGTACCGCCAGCTGGGCGTTGACAGATATTTGAAAATATTTTCATGTTTTTGATTAAGCTGCTCAAGTGATGTTATGCACTTCACATGGTAAGACCCTATTATTAGAATATAGATCTTCATTATACTTCACATCTTGACTTGGCGCCGCCATTTTGTTTGAAGCAAAACAAGTGATATGAGATGGAATCTGATTGTCAATAGGAGGGACATAGAAGGGACATAACTCGTAATAGCTACTGGTGGTGCTACAATTGAGCATGGAAATTCCAGCCCAGTTCGTCAAGGGTGGAAGCTGGACTTTTATAGTCAGTCAATGCCCTTGCCTCGGGAAGATGCACATCACCAAAATATGATATATGAATATGTTTTGTAACATTCATAATTTACATAAACAATATTTATCACCAATAAAAAAGGGGCTGATGAATTTATTTCACACCATACCTCTTCCCTTATTGTGGAGCTGAATCAAACTAAATTAGGTCACATGACGAAGAAACCAATCAAATAAAACAAATCACATTAACTCAAACATATTTATATGTGTTCAAATTAAAATATATGCAAACATCAATTTGTACGCTTACTGTAAAATATTGTATGTTGAAAATGGCCATTGGGTCTGGCAGGTTGTATTTCTGGAGGTTGTCATACAGGCCGCTTCCTGGGGACCGAAAGTCTGGAATGCCTGCCGCTGTAAACCGAAAACCGAAACTGTAACAGGGTTAGCCTGGGTCTATCTGTTTTTAAGTTCTGGGGTTTGGAGGGTCCCAGGCATCCAAATGGGGTCCAGGGATTATCGCTGTCTCATCTCTCTTCAGTGCACTGAATCCTCGATTATCTGGTGTACCATGACTACAATCACTTAGGATAAATACTCATTCACTACTTTAGCTTTGTTTTGAAACCTATTTGAAAGACACACCACGAAAACTAGCCATCTTGTTTGTTTGTTTTGTTTGTTTGTTGTTTAGTGCTACATTTAGCAATATTCTACATATATGACGGCAGTCTGTAAATAATAGTGTCCAAACCACACAATCCAGTGACTGACATCAGGAGCAATGATCTATGCAATTGGGATACGTTGACATGCATCAACCAAGTCAGTGAGTCTGACCACCAGATTTCGCAAGTCGCCTCTTGACAAGTGTGGGTAATGAAGGTCAATTCTAACCTGGATCTTCACATGTGACCAGCCATCTAATAAGAGGACAATTACGAGCAAGGGAAAGCCTGTGTTAAGGGAATGATACAAGCGATGGAGAAGACGGTGTAGCTTTCGAAACACATTGAATGATGGCGAGTGAGCCTGGGGTATTTATTTATCATAACAGGAAGGAGACACGATTCCCTTGATAATCAAAGACGCATGAATAAGGTACACTGGACCCTACCTGTTTCCTTCCACAATATCAAACACACAAAACTTGGAAGTCGGAATGTTCACTATTAACCCTGTGTGTTGCCACGATGACACTTACATGTAACCTTGTGTTTCCATGACAATATTTACATGTAACTTTGTGTCTAATTGACAACATTTACATGTAACTTTGTGTTTCCATGAAAATTTACATGTAACTTTGTGTCTCCATGACAACCTTATATGTAACCTTGTTTCCATGACAACACTTATATGTAAATTTGTGTATCCATGACAACACTTACATGTAACTTTGTGTTCCCATGACAACACTTAATGAGACTTTATGTCTCATGACAACACTTACATGTTGATATCCCAGCTCCTGCCATGGTGATGATGTTGGTGCACTTGTCACTCTTCAGATACTTGGCCACGCCCTCGAAGCTCACCTCACTCAGAACTTTCTCCACATCATCCAACTTGACAGCGCTGGAGAAATAGTTGCTCAATCCTGCTGCAACTGAAAGGATTCAAACGCTTTGTCTCAATTACTGAGATGAGGAACATCTTCAGAAACATCGCCTGAATGTGCAAATTACTCATTTCTGATTGGTTAATCAAAGGTATGAAATCCCAATAATCATGTCTCATTGAAACGGACGGTTTGATAGCCGTTCCACCAGAGAACCTAATATTTTTAGAATAGTACTTTTTTTTCTGTCATTGTTGGCAGGAAATTGTAAAATAATTATATGTACAAATATAGGTTACAAAATGCAGGGTTGCAGTAACTACAATATTTTAAGTATGTACAATGTATTTAATATTTTTAATGTATTTCAAATTTTGGCGACGACAGAGAGCTTAAAATTTGGTGCTTTTCCATACCCAATTTTGCATAAAAAAAAGCTATATGATGTCATAATAGTGCCGTGCCTTGTAGAACAAAACCTAGCAAGGCTTGCTTAATTTTCTGTCGGGGTGCCCACTTCATCATGGTTTACGAAGTTGCTGTGCTATATGCTTTCAGTGCCTGTTAATGGCCGAATGAAGTAAAAAACACTCCTTACATATACAGAACCATAGTTTGGTCACAGATTATCGTTAGTGACTCCGGAATTCAGATCGAAAACCCACTCGAAACACTAGGCTCAACCCATGCTGCTTCTCTCAATATTCTTGCATGCAATGATTCCAGTTTACTGTAGACCAGCACACAGGAACCTAGAGCTACTGAACAAGTCAGGTCTCAGTGTCAGGCTAAACTTACGTGCATCTATTGCTCCTCCAGTCTGAAACAGATATATATTGATTAATGTTCACGTCATTGAACATTTTCTAACTAACAAATGCACAGTCTATAAAATTTCGTAAGCCTGTCATAAATTGTTTGATAGGCATTACTTAGAAGTTGACGGATGACAAGGTAGACACAATTTTGGTTAACAACTACTTTAATACTGTGAAAAGCGACGTTTCGGTATAGATCCTTATACCATTGTCAAGCAAGACTGAATGAGGGACATAGTACAGAATATATATAGTAGGTGGAGGATTAACAGTAACAACAATTGCATACATGAGTGGGAAAACATAGGTAGGTGTTGACAACGGAATAAGGATTCATACCGAAAATGTCGCTTTTCACAGTATTAAATAAGTTGTTATCCATAAAATTGTGTCTACCTTGTCAGCCTGTCATAAGTAAATAAATACCTTTTATCATTGTTTCCAATATACATCCATCAGTTAGCTAAAAGATGATGGTCCGAGGTCATTTACCATTCTGATGAAACCCAAGATTATGGATCCTAATCGGATATATTTTAGATTTGAACCCAGGATCAGTGGCGCCACAGAGGTATGGGGTGCCACTGCGCAGAGTGAGTCCAACCTCGGCGCCACCTGTGCTGCCAACGTGGGAATTGAAATTAAACTTATGTTGCCACAGACTCAGCTGACACATTATTTGTGATGTAAAACCTTCAGTGCATGAATCAGTAAGTGAGATGAGTGAGTGAGTTTGGTTTTACGCTGCTGTTAGCAATATTCCAGCAATATCATGTATGGGGACACCAGAAATGGACTTAACACATTGTACCCATGGGGGGAGTCGAACCCACGCCCTCGGTGTGACGAGCAAAATGCTTTAACCACTAGACTACCTCACCGCCCCGCAAGTGACTTGGGTTCCTCTTTGAACAATATTTCAGATTGATGTGAAGATTGATGTGAAGATTGATGTCAGATTGATGCCAAGATTGATGTTAGATTGATGCCAAGATTGATGTCAAGATTGATGTCAGATTGATGTCAAGATTGATGTCAGATTGATGTTTAAGATTGATGTCAGATTGATGTCAGATTGATGTCAAGATTGATGTCAAGATTGATGTCAGATTGATGTCAGATTGATGCCAAGATTGATGTCAGATTGATGTAAAGATTGATGTCAAGATTGATGTCAGATTGATGTCAAGATTGATGTCAGATTGATGTCAGATTGATGTCAGATTGATGTTTAAGATTGATGTCAGATTGATGTCAAGATTGATGTCAGATTGATGCCAAGATTGATGTTAGATTGATGCCAAGATTGATGTCAAGATTGATGTCAGATTGATGTCAAGATTGATGTCAGATTGATGTCAAATTGATGTTTAAGATTGATGTCAGATTGATGTCAAGATTGATGTCAGATTGATGTCAAGATTGATGTCAAGATTGATGTCAGATTGATGTCAAGATTGATGTCAGATTGATGTCAAGATTGATGTCAAGATTGATGTCAAGATTGATGTCAGATTGATGTCAAGATTGATGTCAGATTGATGTCAGATTGATGTCAAGGTTGGTGTCAGATTGATGTCAAGATTGATGTCAGATTGATGTCAAGATTGATGTCAAGATTGATGTCAAGATTGATGTCAGATTGATGTCAAGATTGATGCCAGATTGATGTCAAGATTGTTGTCAAGATTGATGTCAGATTGATGAATGAGGACAACGCACGTTGATGCTGGTCTTTATCAGTTTGGTGGAAAGGAAAGATGGTCTGGTGCTAACAAACTAATGATCATAATCAGGGAGAACCTCGGATTCAAACCTACAATAAAAGGATCCTGGTACATCTAAGGGATGCAACTCTACAGAGAGTAATGGTGCCCAACCCCACTTCAGTGAGTGAATATGTGAATGTTATCAGTAATATATCAGCCACAACACACTGGCCTGTAAATGATTGAGACTGAATCAGGCAACCAGTGGCTGACTGCATGAGCAACAATCTATGCCATCAACACAATGAGCCAGTTCGCAATCTGGAACCACCCAATCCCCAAATAGTCCACTCTTATGACAAGGGAGGCGCACAGAGTTCCTCTTCTACTCTACAAGGATCACAACACGGTGTCACCTTCAGCTTAGGCGGTTTATTTCATATTCTTTGCTTGACGAATCCAAAGACCTCAAACATCAGAATGTGCAACAAACCCATTTCTTTTATTACTGCGTAGCCTGATTACCACATACCAAAAACAATAACCACATAACAACATTTTTTCCATGCCTGACCTAGGCCCACAGCGTGAGAAGAAGCCAACAAATATGTTCCATAGCTCCAGCATTACTCCAAGCAGTGTATGATTATGTTTCCATGTAAACTCGATAAAAATTTAAATATTCTTCCAACATTTCCCCAAAATGTCAAATGAAAAACAGTATAAGTTATTATTTTTTTCCATCCTACCTATATTGTTCCATGTGTTCTATTCCCATTTCACATTTATTTCATGTGCATGTTTTGGTATGACCCCATAAGATGCATGTGTGCAGTGTCCAAAATAATTGCCTGTTGCCTGCCCGTGGCTGTAACTTTTCTGGCGGGCTGCATTCAAGTTTCCTCCACCTGCCTGACAGTTAATTTTAAGACTACTTACGATTCATTTGTTTCTGGTTAATACGGTAAAAGTTTGCCTGTCACAGCCAGGTACATTGCACGTGAATGTGGTGTCATGAAGTCACGTGAGGAAGGTGACGTGTAGTGTTCACTGACTGTGTTGAACCAATCGAGGTCTTCACATTACACAGGCAGGCAGATTTTACATCTTGCTAAATATTGGCTCAAGAATTTGAGCTCACAAAGCATTGGAGTTGTAGCCGATGGGCAAAGTTGAGCCGATAGGCAAAGTCGAGCCGTATGGCAGATCCTTTTATCTGAGTGACACGATGTGTTTGGTGTGATATCGGAAGTTGCTGGTAAAGTTACAGTTGGGACCCAAAACTGAGCCAAGGAAAACAGAAGAAAAAGCAGTCGCAGATGAAGATACATTTAAGAAAAGTATATTATGGTTAGAATTTGAAACATTTCTGAATAATAACAACAACAAAACTTGTTACATCATGTTTACTTTGGTCACAATTTTAGTTTGGAATTGTATATTTCAGATAACCATGATAACTGATGAAAACGGACGTGGTTTTGACAGATTCACAGATTCGACTTGAAAGACTGTTTACGCGTTTGACGAGTGTATCTATTTGTGATTGTTGATAAACCTGTTTGCTTGTCAGCTGCTCTAGGCATAACCCTTGAGATGCGTATGTTGTACATGGTAAATATTTTATGTTTGTTTGAGCGAAGCGAATTAGAAAATAATTTCATTTTTGTTAGTCATACACTACGCTACCAAGTTCCAACTCTTACAAAAAGAATTGAAGGGTTTAATATTATTTTCATTTTGACCAATGACCAAGTTTTTGAGAAAAGAAATCTGAAAACAAACTAATGAAACAAATGAATGCGTTATATTATTACTAACCTGTCCTCCCTGTGCTCCCTCTTCCTTGGCCTCTGAGGAAAAAGATGACATGATGAAATTGTTATTATCCAATAGGTATCATCATCTGCAAATCCATCAAGAAATTGTGAAGAAACGAACAGACTTAGCTCTTATCTTTTAAATATTCTGTGTGTTGAATCCATATTTACAAATCAACATGCCCTATCTGATGAAATAGCACCACAGAATGTGGAATGGTTAAGTGTCTGTAAAAGAGTTGGTGCCAGTATTCCAAAGAGAAAACTCAGTCACAGGAACCAAACATCTGATATTCTCGGGGCCAATTTTTGAAAATGAATTTGTTCCGGAAAATAGTGGAAAAAATAATTTGGCCTCAAGATTATCACCAAAAATAAATGGTTCCAGGACATGTTGGATGTCCTGAAACCATGGAAACAAATAAGTTGCAATAACAAATATAATCGTTGAGCTCCTCCCTTCAGAAAATGACTGCCTCTGTGGTCTAGTGGTAGAGCGTCCGCCTGGAGAGTGGAAGATCTGGGGTTCGATCTCCAGCCGCATCATACCAAAAGACGTGAAAAGATGGTAATTGTTGTTACCCTGTCTGGCGCTCAGCATTAAGGGGCTAAAACAAGGACTGGTCGGCTCGGAGTCAGTATACGGTGTCTGAGTGGGGTATCCATGTTTAACTGTGGCATGGCATCTCAGTGAGCTGGCACTATAAATCGGCATCAGTCCGGACTAGTACAAGCAGCCGCACACACACACATACACACCTGCATGCACCTCGCTATATAAATGCAATAATCTTGGATGTGACGTTAAACCCAATTTCACCTCACTTCACCCTTCCGAAAAAAAGATGTATGTTATGAAGTGAGTGAAACAATATATATCTCTATAACACTCCCAGCACCCTTCCACACTCCAGAATAATAAAAAGTCCAGGGTCCCGCTGTACAAAACAACCTTAGCGCTACGACTGTCGTAAGTCTATATGTTAAGGTATGGGAGTTACGATCACCTTAGCGCTAAGATCGCTTTGTACAACGGCACCCTGGATGTTGGATCAGTTCTTCATCTGTCTTACCTGGCTTCTTAGGAGATTTACCGTCATCCTTCCCCTGAAACAAGGAATCTGAATGAAAGATACTGCTACCTTGTAACAGCTTCATTTCACTTGCTACTTCAACTTTATAAGGCTCATTTTGGGTACAAAATTGCTGGATCAAATCTCAGGGTTGCAAATGGGCATAAGCCTGGCAGCCCCAAGTCAGGTTGTCTATTGTTGAATGGCAGAATTTGTTGGTAGGCCAAGAAAAATCTGCCATTCCAGTTGTATCTCTGGTGGTCCTTATTAAAACAAGTTTCCAATGGTTAATGATCAGATTTAACATCATAAGTCTTTGAAGAAATTGACTTAGGTCACTTGACAAGTGTTAATGTAAAAATGTGTAAAATTACTAATAAATACATACATATTAATACTGCAAAAAAGCCTTTGCATGCGAATGAAATTTGAACTCTGGGAAAGAAGTCACACATAGATTACCTATCATCCATTTCCTTATGATTTATGCTTGTGGGTTTGAATCCCGCTGGCAACAAACGTTTTTCATGAAATTGTTCTATCATCATGACAAATGATCGGGAAAAATAGAAGTTCCATCATTGCCAAGTGGTATTTAACTAACAATTCAGTTTGTTAGACCACGGTCAAAGACAAAGGAGCCATGGTTTAACATGAAATAAACCATGCTTCGTTCTTTATTGTTCTTTTTGGTGTATCGTGTAGCTATCTTATATTTACTGATGGATTGCAGGCATCACACCTACATTCACTTTACTGCAGGAGCGGTCAGGTAGCCTAGTGGTTAAAGTGTTCGCTCATCACGCCGAAGACCCGGGTTTGATTCCCCACATTGGTACAATGTGTGAAGCCCATTTCTGGTGTCCCCCGCCGTGATGTTGCTGGAATATTGCTAAAAGCGGCGTTAAATCATACTCACTCACTCACTATACTGCAGTGAATAATAGTTTTAATACATAAAAAGGTGTTATGTCTTGCTCCTTGTTCGTTAGAAATGCTGTTGTGGGTTCATGTGCCATGTTACACACTTAGCATGCTTAGGGGAGTACACGAACAGATACAAAGTATATGTCACCTGATACAGCAAATTATGCAGAATTATCTTTGAAAAATATCTACTTTTGGATGTAAAAATGCCCACAAGACTGGACCGAATGGGAAAATAACATATTTAAAACCCACAGAAATCTATCAACACCCAATGACAATGATATCTTGTGAATACTGATTCTACCATGAATTTGGAAATTACTCAATTGTTGTCAAATCACAATAAACCCCCTCTGATCGAAACAGCTGATCTGACAGCTGGACCACTGCAGAAGTTATTATTCATAGAATAGTACTTTTCTTAAGTCATTGTCGGTAGGCATATTTAAATGATATTTACTATTATAGGTCACAAAATGTGATTTTGCGGTTACCACAATACTGTAAACAGCTTTATTTCTGAGCCGTTAAAATATTGCGAATACCACACCAAAGACAATACTGCGACGAGATATTTTTGCGAGTGGCCGTGTTGAGATGACCCCTTGATTACCAAACAATAGACAGCTTCTCTCCGAAGCTAGTTAATCTGAGTTGGCCGGAAAGTTGACCAGTGTCATGAAACCAATTCACGCAAGATGGCTTGTTTCCTGTGTGGACAAAATTGCAAAGGACACTGACGCAATCAAGCGAGGTTGGAAGAAGGCAGGATTACTGTGAGGTAACAGTGACACTAATTGGTCTGTTTACACTGTCATTTGTGATGTATTGTGTGACCATTCTGCATTGATTTGTGTTTTTAACTTATAGAGTGGTTCTTGTTGATGATTTCAACATTTGATGACGTGTTGCAATGAATAAAGTATGTATGTAATATTTATGCGTTCTTAATTTTTGCGATTGAGTCTCGTTCGCAAAACTCGCAATAATAAAACGGTTGCAAAAAATTCCCTGTTTACAGTATTCAAAGGATGTGTGGCAATACATTTTGTGCAGACATTAGGACAGAAATCAACAAAGAGAATGTAGTTTTAAATTTTGGGGACAACAGATAGCTTTGAATTTGCCGCTTTTCTATATACAACTGTAAAGTCATATCTTTTGCTGCGTGTTCGGTTCCAAATTCAATTTCTCATGGTTAAATCTACAGGTAACCTAGCTCTACATTGAAAACACAGTATGTTCATCCTAAATGGATAAAAACGTTATCTGGAGTCCTGCAAAGCTCAAATCAATATCCTGTCCCAGCAAACATACAGTGAATTGAAGAGTACACCGTGGAATCAAAGCAAATTTGGTATTCCGATAATACTGTATTCAAAGTAATAAGCGTCCCGCTCTAATAAGCGCCCACGGCTATATTTGCTAATATATTGGCTAGTGAACAATCCTAATTGTCACCCCTTCCGATTGATCAATGTACACAAGACTTATTTTTTCGCGAATAATACGCACTCGTGTGTTATATGCACCCTTAATTAAGGGCAATTAAATTCTGGAAAAATGTATCTGTCGTACATAAACATTTCAGGCTGTCAGCATAAACCACGAAATTTATCTTTCAACTCTGTTTTTCTCGCCAAAATAATATTCTAATAAGAGCCCCCTATTTCTAATTTTGAGAGCGCCCTGTGCGCTTATTACGTCGAATACGGTAATTGTATGTGATAGAATAATGATATTAGTCACCTCAACTGTTGCTCATGAAATGACTTATTGGTAGAAATCACTTGCAGCGAGAACTAACACTGATAACAAGAGTGATTAATCTTCCTAGTGGGCAGTTTGTGGGAGCCAATTACCGAAGGGTCAGTCTGCCTGATACTGAGAAGAGCTTCATCGCAGTGAGTCAGATTTACACAAACATAGCGTCTCATGATAACTAGGTCTCTCACAGCACTATTTGATTATCCTCTCACGAAGATAAACAGAACCAATCAACACAATCTTACCTTCTTCTCGCCTTCCATGTCAATGCTGCCGTATCAGAGAAGTACCTTGTTATATTCTGGTGAAACAAAACAGAAAAATATTTTTGAACATGATAAACCACTAATTTAACACAATATGTAAGTCAATCACACATGCTGTAAAGATATTGTTAAATAAGTGTAGATCTGGTGGAATATCAATGTATCCAACTCTGCGTTGAATTAAAATTATTACCGTATTCGACGTAATAAGGGCCCAGCTCTTATGCTTATAGTCCATGAGCCAGAGAAAATTGACAACCAAACAGAGGGACAAATAACCAACATGATTTTCAGCTAGCATGATGTCTTAACTGCATGATTTCATGTGATGGACATTTCAGATGCCCAGCTAAATACGATTTTGGTGGCCATTTTCCAGGATGGCGGCCATTTTTTCACTTTTTCTACAGATTTCAGAAATAAGCTTATACCACAGAATGTATTTATTTCAGATAACTTTTATTTATTAATATTGTTTCAGCACTACATTGAACACATTCTGTTATGCTTTTTGTATATCATTGAGTTATAATTGTTGTGTTGATGTGGAAATTATATAAAGAAATTACCCTTTTTTAAAATCTTACTGACATGTTTTCTTTTCAATGCAACGTTGTTGAGTAATAATTCACACCTTATGATAGATAAAAATTGTCTAATATATTTACATATATAAAATACCTTTTTGAAGTTAAAACACGATAGTGCACAAACATAAGCAGCCATATTTCAATATAGTGCACCTTTTTTACAGATATTTTATAAATTAAGAAATTCGTACCGTACATATTGCCACCAAAATTTGTTTTTATATTTCCTAACCAAATTTCGAAGAATCTAAAGCGATTCTATGGTGATATTTGCTAATATATTGGCTAGTGAACAATCCCAATTAGCACCCCTTCCCATTGATCAATGTACACAAGACTTATTTATTCATGTATTATGCGCACTCGTGTATTATATGCATCCTTAATTATGGTCAATTAAATTCTAGAAAAATATATGTCGTATATTAATATTTCAGGTTGTCAGCAAAAGCCAAGAAATTTACGATCTTTCAACTCTGGGTAAGTTGCCCTGGGTGCTTATCACGTCAAATATGGTATTTGGGAAAATGGTTAATTTTCAAGAAGTAAAGCAAGTTTTGTTTTAAAGTTACCCCAGTCTTTGATTAAGCATTGGCTCTATTTCCAACATTGTACATACTACACGTTCAGTTAGACCTCTTTTTCTCACCACCAGGTTTGCTGGTGTATGTTTCAAAACCATAAGGTCTGTGGTAAAAAAAAATACACTTCTAAAACCTTCTTTCTAAAGAAAATTTTATTTTCCCTTTTTTGTTTTTGAAGAAAATTCACATAGGATATTTTGGCTTTTTGTCCTAAATAGGGTGGTGGGGTTGCATAGTGGTTGATGAGTTTGCTTGTAATGTCGATGTCATCATGCACTCAAACTCATACTGGAACTTCCGGAAGCAAAGGCAGTTGTCCTATCAGACTCGCTAAGTGCACTTCAAGCCATCAGCTGCAGAAAATCAAACTCCAGGCCAAACACAGTCAACAATATTCTATACGAATATACAAAACTATAGGACCAAGGGCAACAGGTGGAGCTGTGTTGGATCCCCTCTCCCATAGATATTCATGGAAATGAAAAAGCAGACTCACTAGCGAAGCAAGCTCTAGACAAAGCGGAGATACAGCCTATTCCCTTTAGTAAACTAGAAATAAAAAGCAAAATCAAAGCCTCTGTAGCCCAAAGATGGCAGGCCCAGTGGGGCACAAGTAAGATCAGCAGATGGCTGTACAAAATTCAACCCAAGATCCACCAAAAGCCAAACTCATACTCAAATGAAAGGAAATTTGACATCTCTTGCTTCAGACTCGGTCACAAAAAGCACTATGACAAGGTTTGTTCATCTTGCAATCAGGCTGAATGTCAAGACCACGCCCCAGCCTGGGCTCGGTTAAAACAAGAATCTGCTATCTGTCATAGATCTCCTAAAGTCAAGAGATGCAATAGCAAAGGCCAAACTAACTCTATTTCTGATACGAAAACTATTAAATATACGAAAACAGAAATCATATCAATACAAAAACAGAAATTATGTGAATACCAAACTCACAATAGATATGTGTACCCTACTCACACACAGGAGTCCCAAAGAGGGACAGGTCAGCTGAATTGCTAAGGCACAAGGCGACCTCTTAAACACTGAAAGCAACAACGACACTCATAGCCTCACTAAAAGTGCAGTATTATAGACTCTCTAAAGATTCTTTGTACTTTGAGAAATTTTTACTTCTTCCAGATCATATTTCTGAAGCTTTCCTGTATTTTATAAGCACAGTAACAAGCTTATGGATATAACATATTTAGCTTTTGGCCCTGGGACCACTTGCACAAAGCGATATTAGCGCTAGTACTATTGTAAGCCTACGTTAATGTATGGGAGTTACGATCTTCTTAGCACTAAGATCGCTTTGAGCAAGTGGGCCTTTTGCTGTATATATACTGTACGCATGCTTATCATGAACTATTGTTATAACAAACTTAAATTAGTGGTCCCTTTGAGTTCGTTATAACCATTGTTTACTTTGAGAACAAAGGATATAAACATTTAATTCCAATTAATCGATGATGAATTCTAATAGTATTTCTGATGTACCGATAACTGCATGTATATGTATCCACCATTGTATTACAGTTTGTCTGCCGCCACAAGTGTGACATATGACTAGCGGTTGATAGTGACCCGATGTCCATATTGCAATTTACTGCAATGATGATCAAGTTCTGCATTACGTAAACACAATATGTTGCATGTGTTCTTTCATCTGTAACGTATTATGAACCAGAATATTAATGGCTCTACACACATACTTTGTCGGCCATTTTATTGGATGTTGCTCTGATCACAATGCATGTGTAATAGACACATTATATTCAGGATGAGGGTTGCGAATAAATTTGCTTTTTTCGATCACAGGAAGCAAGATGGTAACTTCTGAATTTGATAATTTAATTTCGACTGACGCTTTTGTAAACTTTGCCAACAAGATGAAAATATGCATGATTTTGAACAACGTTACATACCAGTACTTTCCAAATGTTTTGTGATACATATTCATTAACATTTTTATCATGGTATACCGGTAATACCACACCCCTCTTCATATGAAAAACACATCTACAACAACATGAATCACTATTCTAGATGTGCTATGCACTTGATATCCTATACATGTTAAGAGGGCTAGGTGGACACAATTTTATGGATAACAACTTCTTTAATACTGTAAAAAGTGATGTTTTGGTATAGATCCTTATACCGTTGTCAAGTAAGACAACGGTATAAGGGTCTATGTGGAATAAGTTTTTGTGTGTCTGTTCATGGACTGGTGGTCAGACTCGCTGACTTGGTTGATGCATGTCATCGATCCCAATTGTGTGGATCGATGCTCATATCAATCACTGGATTGTCTGGTCCAGACTCGATTATTTACAGACCGCCGTCATATCACTGCATATAGCTGGAATATTGCTGAGTGCAGGGTTAAACAACAAACCAACCAACCAACATCAGGGAAGTTTTCAAACAAATGGTTTGTGTACAGAAAATCTTTCTTCTATTATTATCTCCACTCTGAACTTTTAGTTTACATTCATTTTCAAGATACAGTAATCCGTTATGCAACTCTGAGAAGTAGAAGCATTATACAGAAAGGCTAATGGGGCTGTGTGTTGGCAAAAAATGTATTGCTATATATTGTGATACATGAGTGAGTGAATATGGTTTTTACGCCGCTTTTAGCAATATTCCAGCACTATCACGGCGGGGGACACCAGAAATGGGCTTCACACATTGTACCCATGTCGGGAATCGAACACGGGTCTTCGGCGTGACGAGCGAACGCTTTAACCACTAGGTTACCCGACCGCCCCTGTGATACATGAACATATATCTGTATTGCGATACGTATTGCAATATATAGGGTGCTACAGTGTCTGACAGTGATTGCCACATACTTAAGTAAATATTACTATGTCAGCATGTTCAGTTGCAACCATTTTGTCGTCATGGATACAGCGAGATAACGCCAGAGAAAATCATTTCTGCTTTTCTGCTGTCTAGTCAGTCAGTTTCGAAGGGAAACATTATTTGTGAATACATTTCTGCATAGATTTTATGCTGAATAATACAAATATTAACAAAATTAGTTATTTTTTTTTTACCCAGTATACCAAAACGCAATATGTATCGTTTGTTAAGTGGTTGCTGTATACCAGAACACTGGTTATACAGTCCAGTACAAACGGTTGATTAGAAAGTTTGCTTGAGAGATGAGATCGTAATGAGATCTTTTCATTTGTGTATTGCTCATCCTGAGAGGACTATGTATAGATTAGACCACGAGGACCCAACGCAGAGTGGTTTAATCCATCATTTCAACAATTAGACAACTCAAGCACTTTTATCAATCACCTAAATATTACTTGCCCATGTTGATGGGCCTATTATGAGCAAACATAGCCCTGATCAAGAGAATAGTAGTTTCGTTTCTATCTGTAAAATTGTTTCGTTGAATGAAAAGCTACCAAATCACAAGTACTGTACTTATACTAGAATGTTTAGAGTAACATACTGTATAAAAAAATGAATGTATAGAGTAACATACTGTATAAAAAATGCATAAAACAGGATTTCGCAGTTCATAAACGGATAAGCAATTCGTCCTGATGTAAGTAAATATTGCTAATTTCACACAATTTTTCCCATGTCGCCATGGTAGAAGACTACATTCGTTAACCTTCATTGCAGACTTCGCGGGTTCGAATCCCGCTGGGGATAAAAGTTTGTCATGAAATCGTTCTATCATCAAGATAATTGACAGGGGAAAAAAGAAGTCCCATCATTGCCAAGTGGTGTTTAACTAACAATTGAGTTAGTTAGACCACGCTCAAAGACAAAGGAGCCATGGTTTAAATCAGGTTAACGTAACAAGTTACTCGTCGTCATACCATCATAGACAGAGTTTAGTTAATATTTGTTGACATATTTGTGTCCAGACATCTTCCCGAGGCAAGGGAGTTAACTGACTATAAAAGTCCAGTTTCCACCCTTGCCGAACTAGGCTGGTATTATGGAGTTACATTTTGGCTGGACTAACGAGTCTATGCAAAGTCCAATCAAAATCGCACACCGAAATCCGGTTCGTAAACTGGCGTGCAGATTTCGGTCGATTGCAGGATTTGCAAAGCATGTGCACTGCTAGCTCGTTGTCAACAGATATTTTTCTAAATCTTTTCATGTTTTTAATCAAGGTGGTAATGTGATACAGTTTATCTTGATTATCGATCAGATCGTCCTGACCGGGCGCCACCAATTTGGTGTGAAGCAAACGCAAGTGATACGAGAGGTGGAATCTGATTGGTCCATATGAGAGGCTTAGAAGGGACATAACTGGTAATAGCCACTGGTGGCGCTATGATTGAGCCCAGTAATTCCAGCCTAGTTCAGCAAGGGTGTTAAAGTCAGTTAACTCTCTTGCCTCGGGAAGATGGTGTCTACACAACACTATCAACAAGCATTTTAAGTTCTCACTTATAAAGCAATATTTTCTGTTTCTGGAACCCAATGAGAATGCAGGATGAATGTAGTGTTTTCTGAGGGTAAATATGCGGGATGAGGCAAAATACACAGTCTTTGTTCCTTCCTAACATAGGATATTTAACATCCTAAAACACACAAACATGATAAACACTTTATCATATCATGTCAGGTCTTAATTCCGTTTGTAGCATCAAAAATAGCATTTCTTACATTTGATACCTAAAGATTGCAAGTTTCCTGGAATGTGCGCATTAAAATATTTTGTCACAGGGCCAGTGATTAGTCAAGTTGGACAATGACAATTAACAGTCAATATAGTTCCAAATGTAAATTGTTTTTCAGACAGTGGCGTAACCATGGTTACAACCATATAGACAACATGATTTCCATACACACATTTTTTCAGTTTTTATCCACTGGCTTGATCTTGCCAACAAACCTACACATTATATGATTAAATTTAATTGGTACCAGCTGCATATGGTTCTTGTAACTAACAAATATGAATATGTGAATATGGTTTTACGCAGCTTTTAGCAATATTCCAGCAATATCACAGCGTGGACCATAGATGGAATAGTGCTGAAACAATATTCATTCAATAACTCACCTAGCTCAATCGTGTAATGTTTTTAGATAATTTAAATTCTAAGACAGTATATATTTTGAAATCTTGTCCTAAAAGATCCATGTATTGAGATATAAGACCTCTTTCAACATACTGCAGATTAAGGCATTGTTAGCATTCCGGAAACAAACTTGGATAAAAAGACATTATGGAAAACCATAACCGAATGGCACTGCCAATTCAGCAGAAGAGTCTACAGCCTTTCATAATGGCTTGTTTACTAGAATCTTGAGAGAGTGGGAGTGAGACACCCCGAGTGAAGTGTCAAAACATCGATGTTTTGGTCAGTGCATCAAATAGAGATTGGCCATGTCTTTACAATAAAAACAACGTACATTCAGGGTGGCGTAAGGTTCAACATACCAATTGTCCTCCGTTGTGATAGTAATTGGTAGAGAATCTCCGTGTTTACTGTTGGTTACTGGTCCCAACCCGGATGTGGGTTCATTGCTAATAATAGTCATGTATGAGCTCTAGGTCACAGCGTGTATGGCCAGCATCGCTGTATGGAGCCTACATAATCAATGACTAGTTTTCTCATACCTCATGAATTTCACGTTGGGCTTTAAAATAAATCCGCGTGTTGCTAATTGAGTAATCAATTATAAATTTCAGATCAGGTGCTAACTTATAAACGATCGAAAATAGATACTACTCATCTGAAAATAGATACTATAAAGATTCATGGGACCAAATTTGATATCTCTTCAGCGCTTATGAATTTAATGGTCCTAGCTACAAGTCCGTAGTCTTTAGAATGGGGGTACGTTTAGAAATAACACAAATATCCGTCATTGAACTTTTGAACTGCTCCGTTAGTTTCATTGACGATGAATAATAATGATGATGATGATGATGATGATAATGATGATAATAACAACAACAACCATAACAACAACAACAACAATAACAATAACTTATATTGCGCTGGACTCCATTCAAAGCGCTAATATCATTACCCTTGTCAGTGGATCAATGTCGACTCGTTTATCATTCTCTAATCCCTGGGGAGTATACAACCCGAGCTGCATGTGAGGTGACAGCTGGTTAACGGTCACATTACCATCCCATCCTTCCTGGTACCCATTCACTGCTGAGTAACAATATCAAGTCACTTGCCCAACGAGACACCACATGTGTTACATGTGCTTCAGCGTGGGGCAGGACCGAAGCCCTAGAAACTCTCAGGAGTCAAACTGCCGAACACTGTCACCCACCTCTCCTCTCCGCGACCGACGTCACTTAACTTCACCCGATGTGTGACATTATGCGCTGTGCACAGGAACACGTCCCGCCATTTAAGGTCTCTATTCCCATTGAGGCTATATACTGAGATATTTCAATCTAGTATCTGCTCAGTTATTGAACTGATTATCCAAATTCAAGATGCTATATGCAGTAAACCTCGGTTATAACAAACTCAAAGGGACTTCTAATTTTAGTTCGTTATAACCGTAGTTCGTTATAAGCATATGTACAGCATAACTACAGCAAATAGTCGGGACCAAAAAGTAAGTTCGTTATATCCGTCAGTTCGTTATAAGCGAGTTCGTTATAACCGTAGTTGACTGTACACGTAACCGAAAGGGGTAAGACAGAGCGACAGAGCTAATAACATAATTACTTTGAATGAAATCTCAAAATATTAATCCTGAGAAACTGAGTGTTTTCAGCTCACCTGGATGAAAGGCCACATCCGATAAAAACAATGTGTTTAGGTACAATTAGGCTTGCCATGAAGAGTGCAAGCATCAACATCGGAAATTACATATGGTCACAAGGAGGTCATCTTGGATATTTGATACTTGTGTTTCACAATCAAAATATGGCCATCAATTTGGTGGTCATCTTGAAATTAGGAAGAAACTCTCAAAACCAGAACCATTCTACTGCTCTTATGTAACGTTTGCCCTACCCTGCAAATAAACATACAAATAGGATTTTGTACGCCCCGTTTAATTGGTTTCACAGTTCAACGGGTGGCCCCGCGGCCTAAAGCACCACAACTCGTTGTGCAGAGTTACATCCCTTGGCTGCCAGCGTGAGCCAGTTCGAATCTCTACTTCCCAGAGCGTGATCAATGTTGTGTAAACACGATGTCTCTCCACGTCCGCGAGTGTCACCAAGCGATTCACTCCCACCACCTTGTACGGCTGAACGTCTGTCCAATTCGAAGGGTCTTTTAAAACAAAACTTCGACTCCAATATCAAGTAGACAGAAAAAAATAAATAACCCAAAGTGGCTGGTAGCTTCAGCATGTCGGTTTTATGCGAAAATCAACGCCTTTATGAACTTGAATTCCTGTAAATAGGAGTTAAGTCAATTGCAAAATGGATGAAACCTTTGCGAAATCTACAGTCTTTAAATGTTTAACTTGTATTTTTATGAGTGCGAAAACTAATAGATAGGTCTTAATATTCCTGTAAGCAGAGGGTATTGGTCTTAATATTCCTGTAAGCAGAGGGTATTGGTCTTGATATTCCAGTAAGCAGAGGGTATTGGTCTTGATATTCCAGTAAGCAGAGGGTATTGGTCTTGATATTCCAGTAAGCAGAGGGTATTGGTCTTAATATTCCAGTAAGGAGAGGGTATTGGTCTTAATATTCCTGTAAGCAGAGGGTATTGGTCTTAATATTCCAGTAAGGAGAGGGTATTGCTCAATCATATTTTGTTTTGTCAATAAAATATGTTTAAACTAAACTTATGGATAGGTGTACAAAAATATGTTCTCTAGATCTTGTCCTGCCTTCTTGTGAGATTTGTATCTGGTCCAGGTCTCAGGAAAGTTGAAATTAGTGAAATTAATTTAATAAATTTAATTCTGATTTTGCAAACAAAGAAGTTGGCGTTAGGGGGGGGGGGGGGGGGGGGGGGGGAGAAATCTGAGTGCTTATTGACAGTTAGGACAAAACTTCTTATATTGGGGCCTGATTTTGATGAGTAAATGTACGTATCAAAACTTGTATTACGTTGTTTATTTGAATGCGAGATATGTGCTCCACAGAATGTCGGGTCAAGAATAAGACACTCGCCATCGAGTCCAGGGGATGCCCTAGGCCAGTTGTACCTCTCACTCAGCGAGCTGAATGTCGCGACCAGCCTCACACGGCCCCACGAACGAGAGAAAATCTCGAAAGAATCGATAGTTACATGCTGGAGGGTGTCTGGGACCCTAACGCAAACAAATATAACAGCACTCTCCTAAAATGTCAAACATGCACCAACAGAAATATAGGAACAATACGTCATAGCGGCCTCATTCGTATATCAGGGCAAGGATGACCTGTCATGAAATAAGGTCACTGTAAAGGCAGCTGTGTCGTTCCCTTATTTTCGGTGGCAAGTATATACGCTGATGACAACAGAATACGCGAACGCCAATCACATTAAAATCAGATCTTAGTTCTCGATATCGCTTAACAAAGTTCTGAGGACATCCCATTAAGGGTCACGTCAGAACGACCTTTCATCCAATCAATCAGAACGTCGCTTAATTACCAGATCATGAAAGTGACAGTCGGAATGTATTTTCTAATCATGCAACCACGAAATATTTAACACGGGGTATTCCGAACGACAGTTACGGGTTTTATGATTATATCCATACAATCAAGGCCATCTATAAGGTATTCCAGAATGTTCTTCTTATCAGTTTTAAATTTTTTTAATCAAGAATACGTCAAAATATGTTTCGAAGCGTAGTCGCCAGTTTGAAACTAGTGTCGTAAAGCTCGAGAAAGCTGCCTTCTGATTGGCTAATGTCGATTTCCTGTCAGGTATTTCACTGGTCGGTCAAAATTCGCGAAAGGTCGTTCTGACGTGACCTGTAATGGGATGTCCTCAGATCTTTGTTTATCGGTAGCGAGAACTAAGATCTGATTTTAATGAGATTGAGCGAACGCTTATATTGTGTTTATTTGTTGTTTAACGCCGCACTTAGCAATACGGTCTGTAAATAAACGAGTCTGTACCAGTCAAACCAGTGATTGATATTATGAGCAACAATTCACGCCGTCGGTGTACGATGACACGCAGTCTACCAAGTCACGTACTTAAGTGGCCTCCCCTTGCAAAGCATAGGTTGCTGGGGAGAGTTGAACCCAGACTCCCCAGATGGTACGGTTTGATTGATTGTTTGTTTTTAACGCCGCACTCGGCAATATTCCAGCTATATGACGGCGGTCTCGACCAGACAATCCAGTGATTGACATCATAAGCATCGATCCACGCAATTGGGATCGATGACATACATCAACAAAGTCAGCGAGGCTGACCACCCGATTCCGTAAGTCGCTTCTTACGACAGGCATGGTCGCTTTTTACGGCAAGCGTGGGTTGCTGAAGACCTATTCTACCCCGGATCTTCACGGGCCCCAGGGGATACGAATATCTTTAGATGTAGTGCTGCATGGGTATGGAATGTTATGTCAAACAAATGACATCTATTTGTATGTGTTCCATTATATGCGGGGGCACGGGTGGCCCAGTCGTCTAAGGCGCCGCGATTCGCTGTGCAGAGTTGCGTCCCCTGGACACGCCAGAACCCTATGATTGTGGGTTCGAATCCCGGTTCGCCCCGATTATGTTTCTAGGTTTGTCAGCACCATACCCGTGCTCGTGGGTTTCACCGAAGTGGTAAACGTCTGAGACCTGCATCACTTCAGGCTTTCCTCCCACATTAAGCTGACACGCCGTGATACAACTGGAATACTGTTAAAAGCGGCGTTAAACCCAACTCAATCACTCACTCACTCCATTATATGCTACTCAATTCTACCTATTCTTTCATATATTACTACAGTTAATCCGACATGCACGGTTGGCCCAGTTGTCTAAGGCGCCGCGATTTGCTGTGCAGATTTTCGTCCCTTGGGCACGCCAGAAACCTATGATTGTGGGTTCGAATCCCGGTTCGCCCCGATTATGTCTCTAGGTTTGTCAGCACTATACCTTTGCTCGTGGGTTTCACCGAAGTGGTAAACGTCTCACTCACTCACTCATTGCACCCATCCTCGAGTATCCAGTGTATTATATATCTTGTCCATTGTAATAAAAAGCCTGGACCAAGAGAAATTTAGTGCTAATTTATAGTGATAAGAGAGACTGATTGATCAGATTACCATGGACATATACCCTAGATACTTGAGGATGGTTCATCTCTCGTATAATGTATATACTAGCGACCGTCTGGAAGAATATACCACTTATTCAACATTTGAGAACCATATCATGTGAAGTTCAGGATATAAGAAAATATATAAAAATGGGGTGCTTTTCCGTTTTTCATTAACATATACGAGCCATTATGGATAACAATGATGTGACCTCTCTCCGACTGCTAGAATGACAAATTGCTGTAACAAACTGGATTAAGCTTGAATAATGCGATGAATATGCAATGGCTGTACTGAAGTGATAAATTGTTTCTTAACAGTT